ACATATAATGCTTGTGCACGGCGGTGACAATTTGGGTCATGTCGGCCAATATGTCCATCATGCTGGGTCCCAGTATCACGTCCTTCAGCAGCGCCTGAATTGGGCGATATTTAGCAATATCTTCCGTTTCCAATATACTCATTAACTCCTGTCCGGCACGCCGTTTCTTTCCGGACGCATTCGTCAGAAAGAGTCGCCATTGGGCAACATTCTTTTGTGCCTGCCTAATGCCGGCGGGCACAGATTTATTGCGCAACAGCTCATTAACATCGTCGGTAACACGTTCCCTGGGTGTTACAGCAATGCTCGACTCCAACGTAGTCAGATCTCTCTGCGAATTCTCGTCGGCCGTGGACAACCAATTCTCCACGCTTGACCGTCTGGCTGGTTTGGCTATTGGTTCCGGCGGCGATTTTACCGGCTCCTTGTCCTGCATCAAGCTGTGCATTTTCGATATCTTGACACGGAGTTTTTCTGGCGTCTTCCCCTTCACCGGCTCAAAGGGTTTCATGTGGGAGTTGCGTGTGCTCGACGAACTCTGACGGCGACTCTGCACTGAAGCGCGGCCGAGACCGCCAAATGTTGTTGCCGATTTGCGTATCGCGTCGATTTCCTGTTGGAATCTCATCAACTGATCGCTGCCAAAGACTGGCTTCGTGCTTCTTCTCGGTGGCAGTTTATGCTTCAGATCCACATCCAAGTCCAGCATCTCCTTCACTGTTATATTCAGTCTCGGCTTGGTTCTGTGACGTCTTAATGCCATATGATGATGCGCCCAACGTGTGGGCTTTTTCATTTTCGTCGTTTTCGTCGTTTCGACGGCCGATTTGTTCATTTTAGTGATCTTCGTTTTAAAGTGCAGCAATGGCTTGACCGAGAACATTTTATTCTGAGAGTTGATTTTAACGTGCTTGGCACGAACATTCGACTCCCTGGGCTTAACTTTACGCTTCGGGCGATATGGCTTCGGTATGAAAAATTCGGGTATTTCAAAGTGTTGGGCTATCAAATGAGGATGAGGATGATGATGATGCGCATGATGCTTGTGCTTTGCGTGCCCCTTGCGCAACACTTCGGTATCCCAAAAGGTGCTAAACTCACTGATATTATCTTTATTCGAATGCCATTGCCTATCAGCAGCCTTCCGTACGCCGCCCAGAAGATATTTGCGTATCTGCTCAGCTTCCGCTTTGCAGTACTCCAAATGGGCCGAGCTCATGGCCCAGACGCCGTTACGTTTATAACGCTTGCGGAAGGCCCTTTGGAACATGCGAACGGCGTGTGCGAGCAACCGCTTTCGCTTGGGCAATACTCTAAACTGTTTGCGCAATTCACGCAGATGTTCGTTCAATATGCGCTCCTCTTTGCGCAAACTCTTAACTTTCAGCAGCTCCCTTCTGTGCCTTCTCTGCCATTTGCGCAACCATATTGTGTACATCTGCCACATGCGGCTGAACTGCGCCCTCGTATGGACCATGGCCAACATTTTGGTATCCTTCAGCTTCATGTCGATCAGTGCGCGTAGATTGTCCAACAGCTCTTGGCGTATATGGCGCATCGAGCTCAGGCGCTGACGTGCCTGCCATTTGTATCTCAACAGCTTTTTGTTCTTGCGGCTGATCTGTTTCCGGAGTAACAGCATATGAAGCCAACAATCGGACAACGAATGCATTTTGTCGCAATTGCTCAATTAACTCTGTTTATTTTTTTCTTTTCTGTTACGTTTTTTGAGTTAATCGAATCAGAGTTTTTCACATTTGTTACATACACAAACAATTTTGAATTTATTTTCAATACACCAATTGATTTGCCAAAAGATTTTAGAACTAATTCCCTTCAAGTGTCTCATAGTATGAAACCGTTGAGGCCCAGATTAAAGGCATTGATAATTATACCCTGCACACTTTGAATAAGGGATAGTAGGGTATATAGGCTATGTGCAAATGTTTGGTAGCAGGTAGAAAGAATCTGCTCAATCCACATTAAGAATTATGGATTTCAAATTGTATTTAATTATACCCTGTACACATTGTTATGTGCAAATGGGGTATATTGATTTTGTGCAAATTATGCAGCAGGCAGAATGAACCAGCTCCGACTTCATAAGTTATTATGGATTCAACTTATTTTTAAATATACCCTGTAACAGTTGAATAAGAGTGAAAATGGTATATTGATTTTTTTCAAATTGGCTAAATGAAGCAGATCCGACTTATAGCATAAGGTAGTATGTATATAAAAAAAGTTTTTATAATACCCTGTACAATTTGAAAGTGTCTAAATGGGGTATATTGTTTTTGTGCAAATGGACGCAACTGGGAGAAGGAATCAGCTCCGACTCCAGAAAGTATTATGGATTATAGTGATATTTTATTATACCGTGTACCTATTGAATGGGGATAAATAGGGTATTTTGTATGTGGGAAATTTCGACCTTCATATGAATTTTGACCAGGAATATTGTTGCCAGATTTAGATGCAAAATTGATCTAGAGGCCAAACCATGATCAAAAAGCCAAACCTTATGAAAATCGGACGAGATTTGACCGAGCTATGGGAAAGGGAAATTTTGATCTATGTATGTCTACTATGTCTATAGGATATTTGAGGTTACCATTTTAACATGAATTTTGTCCAAAAATAATGTTCCCAGATTTAGATGCAAAATTGATCTAGAGGCCAAGCCATGATCAAAAAGCCAAACCTTATGAAAATCGGTTAAGTTTTTACCGAGTTATGGAGGTGACAAATTTCGACCCTCTTACCAAACAGTTTGGGCTGTGCGTTGATCAGCAATCAGTCGGTCTGTCTGTCAGTACAAACTGTTCTATAGATAGAGATAGAGATAGGCAAGAAATTAAGTTATTATATAAAAAACTTCTAGCTTAACGAGATATCTTGGTGCAACCAGTCATTTACTAGTTAAGCTATGCTGCTTATATATGAGCCAAATCTTATCAATATATCGCTCTACTATACTCTATATTATATACCATCTATAGGAGGAATTGCTTGAAAATGAGTTTTTGTATGGCAAAGTATTCTATTTTCCAAGATATTTTCATCAGCCGTAAGGCAAATGTCTACAAGGGTATTAAAACTTCGGTGTGCCGAAGATAGAGATACTTTTTAGTTATTCTTAAGATATTGATTGATCTTAACGATCTGGCTTATGCCGGACTGAGTCACGGGTTCAAGCTACAAGCGGGGCTTTTCTTCTACTTTTGTTGCAATGTAAATCACCGACTAGCTAAAACAGCCGAAACGTAGCGCAAGCCGCGGCGCCTTATCAGCAAAGGCCACCCCAAACAAGTTCAAACAAATGTAAATCACAGCGTGATAGGGAAGCACAGCAGCAGCCGCAGCATCGGCAGCAAACTAGGCAGCTGGTATAAAAGCCAAGTGAACTCCAACAGAGCATCAGCAATCAGCCGCAACAGCTTGAAGCAATCAAATCAATAATCAAATCAAACCAAATCGAATCAAAAAGATGACTCAAATGTTTGTCACCTGCATCATTGTCAGCTGCATTGGGCTGCTGGGCGTTTATGCCGCACCGATGCAGCCACAGCCAGCGCACCTGGTCGACTATCCGACGGTACGTGTGCGCCGACAGGTGTTGGGCGGCGCGCTTGCCTCCAATCCAGCGGGCGGCGCTGATGCACGCCTGGATCTGACCAAGGCCGTCGGCACGCCGGACCACAATCTAATTGGCCAGGTGTTTGCTGCGGGCAATACAGAAGCCAGAGGACCCGTCACCAGCGGCGCCACTGTGGCCTACAACAAGTAAGTTTTGTGGACGGCTTCTGGGTCAAACAGCTCAACTAATCTCTATTGAACACAGTCAGGGACTGGGCGCGGAGCTGACCAAGACGCACACGCCGGGCGTGCGGGACAGCTTGCAGCAGACGGCAATTGCGAATCTGTTCAACGATGGCGTTCACAATGTGGATGCCAAGGCATTCGCCTCACAGAATCAGCTGGCCAACGGCTACAAGTTCGATCGCAATGGCGCCGCCCTGGACTATTCCCATATCAACGGGCATGGCGCCAGTGTGACGCACAGCAATATACCCGGCTTTGGCAAACAGCTGGAGCTGGCCGGTCGTGCCAATCTCTGGCAGTCGCAGGATCGCAATACGCGCGTGGACTTGAGCAGCACCGCCTCCAAGTGGATGAGCGGTCCGCTTAACGGCAGATCCGACTTTGGCGCCAACCTGGGTCTGACTCATTATATTGGCTAGGGAGGAGTCAACTATTTCTGTGCCAGGAGCTGACTTTTTTTCTTAATTCAACAAGGGATTTTTTAATTTAGCTTAATTTCATTACACAAAAATGTATTGTTTGCTTTTAATTCGTTTGACTTTTTAAATAAACAAAATTAATTTATTTTAAAAGATGTATATAAAACATTTTATTAGATTTATGAGAGAAGAAATCCTCTTTCTTTGAACAAAAGCTTTAAGCTTATTTTTACAAATTTGATCACGAACATCTAGAACTGGACACATACATCCATCCACCTTTAAATCTTCACGCACAAAATTAAACATTTTCTTTTCTCAGATATTCAAAACAATCACTTCCATTAGCGGAAAATGGATGAAAGCAAGTACGTTTTTGTATAGATTCAATTTGAAATTTCACCGCTTTTGGCGGAATATGAATGAAAAAACGCAATGTGGAAAAATAAAGAAACGCATTAGTAAAGCATACTTCCTTCCACTTTACTTTTGCATTTGTACATTTTCCCACAAAGCATTTTTTCAATCATTTTCCACCAAAAGAGGTGAATTTCGAAATGGAATCATACAAAATACAACACGAGTGTAAATTAAAATTTGTCTTTAAAAATAAATCCTTGAAAGACAAACCTTAATCTGGCGTAAAAATATATTGTTTAGTGAATAATTTTAAATCTCACTTTCACGGTCGGAAAATAAGTGGAAAATGTTTATTGAATGACTAAACCCGTCTAATTTCCTCGAACGGCCTTAACATTATAAAGATAAAATAATTTTAATAATCAAATGAAGAGAAAAACAGAAAAGAAAATATTGCATTTAGAGACCAATGAAAGCCCTTGCCTGCTGCTCGCCCACCTCCTTGAAGATCTCCGCCGTCCTGAGCAGCTTGATAAAGCGTGGCGTATAATCCTGATAAGCCGGCTGATCATTGACGTCGTCACTGATGCTGCTCTTGAGCAGCACATTCCGCAGCTGGGCATCGCGCTGTTCGCGCTCCAGCGTATCCGACATTTTGCGCAAATAGATGAGATCCATGAGCAGCTCGTCCCGCACAGTGGCCACATGCTGTTGCTCCTCCAGCGGCAATTCCTCGTACTGGCGCAACAGCTTCTTGACAATGCGTGACTTTTGCTCAATGTTCGCCGGCTCCAGGATGCGCACCTGCTGATTGTAATCATCGGCGAGCACACGCAAATTGGCATCACGTTTGTCCCGCGACTTCTGCTGCTCGGCCATCGTTTTCATGATGATGTTGTAGAACTCGACCAGATCGGGACGCAAGGGTATGCAATTGCGCTGTTGCATCTGCTTATCGATAATATCGCTAATGGACTCCATGGTGCGACGCAGCATTTCCTCCTTCTCCTGCAGCTCATGCTCGTTCTTATTGTTGCGTATCTGATAGAAGTTCTTGGGATGCTTCATGGCGCACTTGTTGTTACGCGCCAGCACCGTGACCATCGGATCCAGGCTGGGATCATTGCCGACCATATCGAAGACAGCAGTCACAATATCCTGAGACAGCCGACCCGTTATTAGCTTGTTATAATTGTCGGAATACGGTTCGTTTAGATCCCATTTGCGAGGGCCACCAGAGCAGTCGCCGCTGGACTTGGCATCTGCATCGCCGGTGCTGTTGCTGCTGCTGCTGCTGTTGTTGTGGCTGTTGTTGCTGCTGGGCATTGGCTTTAGTTGCGGGCCAACTGTTTACCCCCCACCCCGGCACTTACCTCTTGGCCTGCTTAGCTTTAGCTTTTTTGGCGGCAGCCGACTTTTTCTTTTCGGCCCGCTTGCCGCCCGACGACTTACTCTTTTTGGTCTTCGTCTTGGGCTTATCCTTATCCTTGCAGTCCTCCTCCTCGCTGCGCTGCCTGGCCTGCCGCGAGTAACGCTCCTCGCTGTCCAAGTCCTCATCGTTGTCATCGACCAGTGCATCCTGCAGCGTATAGTAGGCATCCGCATTGAGTCGCTGCTGGCTTGGCTGCACACAAATCGAGCCGTTGCCATAGATCTGCTTGGTCCGCGGATCGGAGCAGACGCGCGCATTTAGGGATACATTCAGCTTGACGGCATCGGGACTGTTGCAGGCATTCGATGAATGTTGCTCTTCCGAGGCTGGCATTGCACTCGTTGCCGTTGCATCCGTTGAGATGGGCACACAGTCCGGATTTAAGGTGCTGCCGCCGACTGCAGCAGCTGTTGCTCCCGCACCCGCTCCCGCTGCTGGTGTTATTGTCACGCAAGGATCATTCACGACATTCAGCTTGTTGCCCTTGTTAAAGAGCGGCCCAAAATAACGATGCACGCCATACAACGGCTTCAGCTGATTCGTTTCCAGACTTGCCGCCGCCTGCTGCTGCTGCTGCTGCTGATGCTGCTGTGGCAAAAACTGTTGCTGTGCCTGTTGCTGCTGCTGATGCAACTGTTGCTGCTGTTGCTGCTGTTGTTGCTGTTGTTGCTGTTGTGGCTGCTGTTGTTGCTGCTGCTGCAGCTCTTGCTGCTGCTGCGCCATTGTCGGCTTCTGCAGCTTGGCCAGCTCATTGAACAGGTGCGTCAAATTAAAGTTGGCCTTTAAACTGTTAACCTGCTGCTGCAGCTGCTGCTGCTGTTGCGGCTGTTGCAGCTGTTGTCGCTGCAGCACTTGCGGCTGGCATGGCTGCAGCTGCTGCGGCAGCAACTGTTGCTGCGGTACACTAGGCTGCTGCTGCTGCTGCGGCTGCGGCAGCTGTTGTAGCTGCTGATAGGGCAAGTTATTGTTGCGCTGATTCATCATGGGCACCTGATAGCGCGAATTGGAGAACGTATTGCTGTCAAAGGTGCCCACTTCCTGTGCTGCTTGCTCTTTCTTAAAGCTCGAGCGCTGATGTCGCGGATAGGGCAGGCCGTCGCTCTCGTTATCCTCCTCGGTTTCCAGCGTCAACATGCCGTTGCCCAAGCTGCCAAAACGCACGCGATTGCCATTATGATCCTCAAAGGAATCCAACAGCTTTGAGCTGCGCTTGGTGACGTCCTGTAGATCGGACTGGGCCAGCGGCGAGAGCTGCGGCTCCAACTGCGCCTCAGATTGTGGCTCCAGTTGTGGATAGGACTGTGCGTCTAACTTTGGATATCTTTTCGATCTCGACTGTGGCTCCAATTGTGGATTCAACTGTGCCTCCGACTGTGCCTCCGACTGTGACTCCGGCTGTGCCTGGGATTGCGGCTGTCTATTTGACTGCCCTTCCGACTGTTCCTCCGACTGAGATTGTGCTTGGGGCTCCAACTGCGCATTGGTCTGGGCGTCTGCCTGTTGCTTCAACTGTGCCTCGGATTGTGGCTCCAACTTTGGATGTCTTTTAGTTCTTGACCCTGGTCCCAACTGCGGCACTGACTGACCCTCCAAGAGACCCTCCGAGTGCGACTCGGACTGCCCCTCCGACTGTCCCGCCAACTGTAGCTCCGACAGATTCTCCGACTGTCCTTCCGAGTGGGACTCGGACTGTGCCTCCGTCTGTCTATCCGCCTGTCTATCCGCCTGTCTATCCGACTGTCTATCCGACTGTCCCTCTGACAGTGTTTGTGGCTCCACCAACTGTGGCCCAGTCTGTATCTCCGCTTGCGCCTCTGGCCCTGCCGGCTCATCCGACTGTGCTGATGACTGTGGCTCCGCTTGTGTCTCCACTGGCGGCTGGTCCACAGAGCGTTTGCTGCGTCGCTTATGATGTGGCTCATTGGCCACGTTAGCATTACGGCTGACCTTCTGGCGATGCACTCTGTGCCAGCTCCAGCGTTTGATATGACGCTTGTCGCGATCCTTGTCGCTGGAATGCTGTGAGATCTTATTGGCCAGCAGCTTGACTACGGCATCCGGATGACTCTTGCAGATGCCGCTGCGTGGCTCCAGCTCCGCCACGTTTCGCAGCTCCTCTCGCTTCAGTTTGCCAGTGCTGGTCTTCTGTAGGCCGTCTTCCTTTTGCTTGGCCGCCAGCTGACCCAGCGGCTGCGCCTTGTCCACCACCTGCGATTTGACTTCACTCTGGTCCACATTCGTCATCTGCATCTGCGGCTGTGCCTGCAGCTGTTTGGGCTCATTAACATTGAGCGGTTGCAGCTGCTTTTCCGCTGACTGGACATCCGTTGCGGTCTCCTTGACTTGTGTGTGACCCTGCGGCTTGGGCTCCACAATGGGATCGACGGCTTCGGCCTTGACAGCTGCTGTTTGTTGCTCCACTTTAGCCTCAGTGCCTGTTGCCAAGTCCAGCTTGGCCTGCACTTTGTCTTCGCCTGCTGCTGCAGCAGGAGTCAGCTTTGCCATCAGATCCTCCGCCTCATGCAGTTTGTCCTTACTCTGCTCCGCATTAGCCAAGGCAGCTTCACCCTGCTCCAGCTGCGCATCCGTCTCCAGCAGCTGCTCCGGATGACGCTTGAAGCGATCTCGCTCCACCTTTAGCTTGGCATTCGCATGCGCATAGTCCCGCAGATTGGGCAAGCTGCGCTGCTGGCTAAGTGCGGGGAACTGTTCAAAGTGTGGCAAACGATAATCGTAGCTTTGGGGCGTGTTGTCCATCAAATGGACATTTGGAGCATCCAGACTGGAGCCGTCACTACCATCGAGAGCGTTGAGCGTACCATCATATGATGGTACCAGGGAATTCTTCTCCTCGCCATCCAGCTGCTGCTGCTGGAACTGCTGCTGCTGTGCCTTCTGACGCTCCCGCTCCAGCTTCCGCTCGCGTCGCATGATTATATTATCGACATAATGGGCGCGCAGCGTATCGGTAAGCGCATTGCTGGGCAGCGAGGGTCCCATGCCCTTGCGCATCAGCCTGTTGCTGGTCTTCAGCTTGATCTCGTTCATCGGATTGAAGCCGGTGGCGGTGCTGCGCTTCTTGAGAATGCCGGTGGGATAGCGCGTTTTGGCCGATTGTTCGGCTGCCTCTTGCTCGATCTTGGACAGCTTGTAGTTGGCCTCGTGTGACAAATTGTTGGGATTGGGCACGCGCGAGACTTGGAGGCGTGCCAGCGTCTGTTCGTAGACACCATCTGGCACTCGCTCATTGCCATACTGTTGCAGCTGGCCGGGCTCCTTGTTTGGCTTGCCATTCTTTTTGTCATCGGCTCGACTCTGCTCCATTTCCTGATTGTGCAGCAGCCGCTGCACATGCTTCAGCTTAATATCCAGCTCGGTGGCGCCACCGCGTATCACCTCGTACGGCTGCTGCTCGGGCAAATGTTTAACGGGCAGATTCATATCCGTTAGGTCCTTGTACTTTTTCTTAACCTTGCCCACCTCGGTTTGCTCCATGGCTTTGCCATAGCTGTCCCCATATACCCTGGACTTGAGCTTATCCGAGCCGCGTGAGTATTTGCCAGGGGAATCAACCAGCGCTGAGGTTTCCTCTGCTGCGCCAGCTGCTGCCGCTGCTACTGCATCTTCAACTGCTGCTGGTGCTGTTCCTCCGGCTCCTCCGGCTCCTCCGGCGCCTCTGGCTACTTCCCCTACATGCACGACGCCCGCTTGAATATCACGAAACCAATCGTCAGCCGCCTGCTGCAGCTCCTTATCATCCTTATCCGGAGCCATCTCCTTATCGCCGGCCTGCGCAAAACTGGCCAACAGATCGTCAATGCTGTTCCGCCTATGCCTATATAGCTCGGCGCCCTGCACATCGCCATAATTCGAGCGAATCTCGTGCAGCTGCTCATGCGCCTCCTTCACCGAATTGTGAAAGCTGCGCAATTGTTCGCTGCCCGCCTGCGGCTCGGTTTGCGGTGCCAGGGTATTGGTGGTGCCTGTAAGCACCATTAGGGTCCACCAGAGCTGTAGAAAGATCATGTTCACCAGCTGAGACGCGTTCAAATTGACTTACAAAATATATATTTATACATATACATATATGTATACAAAGCAGACAGCAAAACGAATTCAATTGAAAAGTTTTGCGCCAACTGCCTGCGATTGAGTTTTCATTAACTTGGCAACAGGTTGTCGTTGTCTCAATGTGCTGCAGCAGGGCTGCTCCGAGCGGGGGGTAAGCCAACTTTTTGACAGCCACTGATAAGAGGCAAAGAGTCGTGAGTCGAGTGCAGCATCCATGTGTGGCATTGTGTGCAAGTTTTTGCACGGCGGCGGCTTCCGACAGCCGCTGCCAGCTGTTTAACATGAAATGTTCTTTGTTGCCAATACACAACACACTCACACACACACACTGACACTCACACACACACACACACACATAGCAGTCGCATTGTTAGCTGCGTTTCCCCATGTAAATCACATTTTTGTTTTATGCCAAAACTTTTGCGCAGCAAGCAAATGGAGCTGGTTGGGGACGCGGCCATGGGGGCGTATGCGCAACGACAATAACATTTCCTATTTCCGCCTGGCTGTCTGTCTGTTTGTCTGCATGTGTGTGTGTGTGTGTGCGCGCGTGTGTGTGTGCGTGTGTATCAATGCCAAAGTCAGCACAATGCACGCCTCGAAATAATTGAATATTATCAAATGTGCTGGCAACAACACGAATCTCTCGTGCAACCGCTTTCGCAGTGAACCACAGCTAAAACTAATGTAATTAGCGGCTTGATTAAAAGTTTTGCGGCTTGACTGAAGCGCCAATCCAGCCAAACAAAGCTATCCAAATTAAATAGATTGCCAGCACTTGCAGCGCATCAACCCCAAGAGATACACACTTAAAGGCTGCTGCCAAGGACAATCAAGCCTTTGAGCATAAAGGAAACATTATAATTGGAATATATGAAAATAAACTATAAATGATGCCTTCACTTTAAATGGGAATAGACTTAATAAGACTTGCAGAAGACTGCAAAACTGGCTTTAATTGTAGCATAAGCCATGAGCCTCGCTTACTTAACATCGTCTCCATATTTTATAGAGACCATATATATACAAAAGAATCAAACAAAACAAGAAGAAGACAAAGGAATTATATAATCGTAATTATATAAATATATTTACAAGTAAGAAAGATTTAGTAGGAAATGCCAGACTCGGAGATACCATGAACCAACTTATAGAAAAAACACACTTTTTACCTATTAAAGGGTATAGTATACAACTTGCATTATTTGAAATTCAATAAACATGATCCTATATACTCTACCATATAGACTGTGAGTTCGTGGCGTTAATACACACGGAGGGACGGATGGACAGACGGACGGACAGATAGACGGACGGACAGATAGACGGACGGACAGACGGACGGACATGGGTATTTCTTCTGGGCTATTGATGCTGCCCAGGCATATATATACTTTATGGGAGCGGAGATGCTTCCTTCTGCCAGTTGTATAAATTTGCATTAGCCCAATATAACCTTTTTACACATTTTCAATGATTGCAGGGTATAAAAATAGATATAAACATATATTATTAATTTATTATAATTACTATAATCAAAGAAATAACCAAAGCAACTTTCATGTCGAATTTTGTTAATTTCTTTTATCACTCCGCTGACTTAATTTACACGTGCGACACACTGTGGCATGCCAGCAACATATTTATTCCTTTTTTTTTCTGGCTGCATTATTTTCGGCCATTGTCTTAACTTAAAGCTGAGGCGTTCATTTGGCTGCTGCTGTTGCTGCTGCTTCCACATCGACGATTCGGGCAGCAGTTTTTGAGCAAATGGTACAGCAATTTTTACTTATGCCTCAATACTTTTGCCTTGTCCACGGCCAGTGGAAATGCCAGCAGGAGGAGGCTGGGAAAAAAAGCACTGAGCGACATGACAAAATGAAAAAGGATACTTGGGAAACAGGATACTTCATGCCGGACCGTTGGCAGCGCGGGCGTGCATCAAAAAACATGACATGGCACGAGCCATTTCGTTTGTTTTTTCTATTCTTACTCCCCTCCCCCTCTCCCCCTCTCCCCCTCTCCCACTCTCTCTCTCTCTCTGACTATCTATTGCGCTTCTCTGTTTTTTTTTGGGCTGCGTCCAAAACATATTTTTTATATTCTTGTGCGCTTTGAGTAAAATATTATGTTACAGCCAAACAAAAACTTTTGTGTTGCACTTTCAGCTGCGGGCGTTGGGAAAAATTCCAAAAAAAAATGAAACAAAAAAAACAAAAAAAAAATAAAATTAAAAAAAAAAAAGAACAACACCAAAAAGTGTAAGAAAAAATGTTCAAAAATATTGTAAACTTAGTTAAACGCATTGGCCAAGTGTTGTGCTTATGCATATTCAAAATGCTTTGAGGGCCGCTGCAAACCGCACACAAGCAATTCATTAAGCGCAATAGAAAATGGAAAAACGGAAAATGGAAAACGGAAAATTACTGGGCAGCCAAAGGGTGTTTGGCTCTTGTTGCAAATGCCTCGGACAGTTTACGAGCCGCAGACGCAGACAACACGGGTCCAAAATGTCGATGGGTTGCATATTTACTACTTAGAAATGTTTCATTTTATTGGTCTCGAAATGAACAAATGGAGCATACGCCGCACACACACACACCAGCACACACACCAACACACACACACACACACACACTTGTGCAGTATGTGCTGTTGACTCCAAAAAATTTTGCATAATTTATGAGCGCAGCGCAAACGGCGGCAACACACGAAAGGACTTCAACTCACACACACACACACGCCTTTGCTTCTCCCCCCCCCCTCTCCCCGCCTCCCTCCCCCTCTCTCTCTCACCACTTACCTCACACACAGCCAACTGATTTAAATGCAATTGCATTGAAGTATGTTGTCAGTTGAAGGCTGTGGCCCAGCATGTGGATGCCGCTCACGTGCCGCAAGCGCACAACAGGGAAATTGTTGCATATAAGAAAACAAAAAAAAAACCTATATTTTTAAGGTTGAGAAATATAAAAGAAGAAAAGCTGCCCGTTTGGGCAGCTGCATTCCATACAATACCTATCGATGTCGGCAATTTCTTTTCATTTGCCAAGGTGTTGAGACGTATGTGCTACGTGGCCAGGTCAAGGAGCTTGCACGCCCCCCCCCCCCTACTATTCCCCCCCCCCCCCCCCTTGGTCTACACAAGTGTCGTCTGGTGGCGGCTGCCGGCGGCCATTTGTGTCCGACTGCCTTGGCAAACAACCGACAAATTTAGTGTCTTTTGTGCATTTTTAAAATGGACAAATTTATGTGACACGCTGCGCCAATTCATCAAATTAAATAAACATGATACCTGGCAAACGTATCTGCATCTATCGAGAATTTGAGAACTGAGCCAAGAGCACTGAGAACTGAGAAATGAGAGCTGAGCACTGCGTGCCGAGTGCCGAGTGCCGAGCTGTGCAGGCTGCACTGCATCCCTAAAGCCGAGAACAAAGCCAAGAAATTTCATTTTCCGCAAATGTAAACGACAAACTGAATTTAGATTCAATCATTCATTTTTAAGCACAATTTTGAATTCTCTCAGAATTCATATGAGTTTCAATTCAACACATCTCTCTAGACTGCTCTACTCTCTTCTCTGCTCTTCTCTTCCCTTTTCTTCTGTCATTTTTCTGGGTCTCTTCTGTATGTAATTGTCAATTTTTCAGAAATTCTCTTATAATTTTCCTGACATTCTCCTAAAATTCTTCTAGGTTTCTTCTGGGTTTCTTCTGTATTTCTTTTATATTACTTCTGTAATTCTTCTAGCATTTTTTCAGTAATTCTTTTATCAATCTCCTGTATTTCTTCTAGATTTCTTCTGTTATTCTTCTGGCATATTTCAGAAATTTTCTTATTATTCTCCTGACATTCTTCAGTCTTCATTCTTCAAGGTTTCTTCTGGGGCTCTTCTGTATTTTTTCTAATTCATCTGGCATTTTTCAGAAATACTTTTACCATTCTCTTTTAGCATTCGTCTGGGTTTCTTCTAGATATCTTTAATAATTTTTCATACATTTTGCAGAAATTATTATCTTTACAGTCTACTAGGCTTCTTCTAGATTACTACTGTAATTCTTCTGGCTTCATTCGGAAATTCTTCTATCATTCTTTTGACAAGCTTTTGGCGTACCTCTGAATCTTTTATAGAATTCTTTTGGCACCATGTCCCAAAACGGATCCTTTCAAATTTTCCTCAGACATTCTTCTGGAATTCTTCAAGTATTTTATTTTCTCTAATATTCTTTCAGATTTCTACTGAAGTTTCTTTTGGCATTCTTTCAGCCCACTTGTGGCATTCTTCTGGGCTTATTATCACATTCTTCCGCCATTCTTCTATACTAATCTAGCCTAGCAGTCGTCTCCCATTGTCTATCCTTTTGCTGGCATTCCTCAGCAAATCTTCTGCAATTCTTTCGACATTACTTGAAAAATATTCAACCAATATCCTCAGGCAATCTTCATCTTTGGTAACTTTTTAAAGTACTTTTGCAATTAATGTTTTTCTTGCCAAATTGGAATACTTAAGCAGGCCGGCAATCAATTTGTGCCGCAATGGCTGGCTAATTTGCGATAATTAACTAAATGCCAAGCGGCACGTGCCGCCAAGTTCATCCAAATCCCATAAAGCAATCACATGCACTTGCACAACTATTAAAACTCCCAGGCGGACGGGCAACAGCATTTTCGTTTTTTTTCATTTCTTTATTTTTTTATTTGTTTTTTTTTTTTGTTTTTTCCTTGTATTTTTTTATGCCTGTGTTTGGGCACTGTCAGGACCATTACGACTTGCTACATTTCCTTTTGCAACTTCTTTTGGGGCAGTCGCCGCTGCTTGGAGTGCCTGCCCTTGCCCGCCTTTTGGCAATTTTCCATATGCAACACGCAACAGACGTTTTTATGTTTTTCTGTGCGGCATCGCACACATAAAAAATAAACGAGCCAAACTGGGAGATGGCCATGGAACCGGGTGGAAGCCCGAGCGACAAACCCAGCTCAGGAAAATAGCAAAAACCAAAAAAAAAAGAAACGTGTAACTGACCGGACGAGCAGTCAAAAGAGTGGAAGTCAATTATCGAATTAATTTAGTTGCCACTGACCTGACTATAAGTGGGGCTGCTGCTTCTTTCTCTGCTTTTTATCGGAGCCCCAAACGCATCATAAATGTAAATGGGCTTAGGGCAGCGTCAGCTGCCCGAAATGGAATTCAAATTGTTTTATTTAAATTTTTCGGTCTACTCCGGGGGCCGGCAGCCTGATTGCACATTTTGCAATTAATTAAATTATTGCGCAAATGACATTTTTGCCGGCTGACGCGCCACGCATGCAACAGTCTGCATTATTTTGTATTTTTTTTTTAACGCACACACACACGCGCGCGCGCGCGTCAATTTAATAAACACGATATCCTGCTCGAGGCCTGCAACGGCGGACCGTGCCTGGTCATGTAATTGATGCGTTAATCCGCATATTGACAGCGGTTATTGCGGTGGCTTTGCCTGGAAATATGCCCAGCGGCCCATGGAAGGGGGCGTGGTGGCGTGGTGGAGTGTGGGGGGGGGGGGGGGGGGATACAAATACTCGCTGATATTGCGCATTTATGGCCTTTTAAAAGGGATTTGCACACTGCATTTTGTACTCGCCGTGTGCTCGGGCTAAGTAATTTAATTACATTGCGGCGTTCAAATTATTCCAATATGGTTTATTCCATGTAACTTTGTGTGATTTTATTGGCTTTGCATTTTGCCTGCATGAGATGCGTAAAACATTTTCGCCGTGCACCTGTAGCTAGATTATTGCGTGGGTTACGCACTCTTGTTATTTTAATATAACCGTATTTGATCTGTTCCTTGGCTATTTTTGTACTTTAATATTGTTTTACATAACATAAACGCGACAAAATCAAAATACCCTTTGCAAGGGTATAAAAGGGGAGATAAAAACCTAACTGTATTCTACTCAATTGATGTAAATTAATATATAAATACATATACATATATGCAAAAGCACGCTTACCAATTTGAGTAAAGCTTTATAATCCACTTTTTTCTCACTCTCTCTCTCTCTCTGCATGTGAATTGCGCGCCAAATTTGCCCCAAAAAAAAAAACTGCACACCAAAAATTACACCAGCCGCATTTTATTAATTTATAGATATCAATTTAGAGGTAACGCACAACTATAAACTGGTCAGCATAGAAACACAAACAACACAAGCTAATCACATTAAAAAACATTAAAAATAAGTAAACTCTTTTAGCAAACGACTTTATGCACACGCGCAGTGGACTTAACCGATCGACAGGACAGACGCGCACTGACTAAATTGCCTCATTAGGCTAGCGCCTACGCTAAGCCGACGCTCACACTAATACAACAACAACTGTCAGAGCATACAACAATTAAAACTCCCACGCTTCACACCATTCGCAATGCGCTCTTCTTGTGCAAGCCCTTTCTAGAAAGATAACGGGATCAAAAGCATATTATCTCCCCCGCTCATACAACCATTCATAATGTTCGCTCTATGCTGCGTCTGCATTCTGCCTGCAATGAAATGGGATCAACGGTGAGTAAATGAATTATCTTCTATGCTCAAAGCATCCGCTCTCCGGATAATTGCTCTCTACTAGTGCGTTTATCCGCTGCCGATACACAGCTTAGCTTGCAATAGGTCCTCCTCATAAAAAATATATAATTTGTTTGTCATTTTTAGTTGCAGCCTGAACATAATAAATGCAGCAAATCAGCTGCCGCATTTGCTAGCGTTGCAAATTGTTGCATACTCTTGGGCAGCAGTAAGAAAGAGTTCGATTACAATTATGTCAGATGCGTTTGCCTGCATTTACATGTGCTACGGCTAAGGCTGTGTCAGCAGATGCGCAACAGTTGAGCACAACTGTGTATATACATGTAAGTGTGTGTGCGTGTGTGTAGCTGTGCTGTTGCGCGCACTATTTTTCAATTTATTACGCGCACATAACAAAACTTTATTGCTAAGCTTTAGCAGCGACTGCTCCAGCTCCAGCTCCAGCTCCAACTTCAGTTCCAGCTCCCGCTCCCGCTGCCGCTCCCGCTCCAGTTCCTGCTTCTGTATGCTGTTCCTGCCAACTGTTCAATGCTCATGGGGAATTTGCCAATGTGACGTGCCAATGTGTGCGTGCCAAGGAAAATTAGCCCAAACAGTGGCTGCCGCCGCCGCCGCACCACAGTGGGTATCAGGTGCTTTGGGCTTTGTTAACGGATTTATGCGGCAATCATAAAACTTGCCAACTAACCGGCGAGAAATGTCGCGCAAGCCAAATTGATTTATGTGTGGCAACAACAATAAGAGGCAACAATCGAACGAGTGCAGCAAATACACGCCCCCCCCCCCCTACCCACCTGGGTGTCAAGCGCGTATTAGCCAAGTTAACAGGCTAGAAAACTTTTAATTTACCAAATGTACTTTTGGCCAACTTGATGACTTCAATACGCACATAAACAACACCGCCCAACTCTCAGGTTCTTAAAAAAAAGAAGAGATGGCAAAAGAGAATGCGAGAGAGAGAGTGTCAGGGAGTCAGAGAGTGTGAGTGCGAGCGCGAGCGAGAGAGCGCATGATGGCGGTGTTGGAAAAGTTGCAATTTAATGCCAAGGCAAACGTAAAAACGGCAAAATTATGACCAAAATGAGAATTTAATCGAAATACGTGAGCGGAAAAATGAAAATTTGACTGCAACTTGGGAACGTCTGCAGCAACGGGCCAAGTGCTGCTGCTGCAGCCGCCCAGCATAAAATGCCAAGTGCAAGCTCATGCAATTTTTATCATGGCCACAAAAGCAAACGTAGACGCAACTGCGACTCTCTGCCACAACCGCCCGCCCCCCCCACCCTGCTCATCATCAGCACAGCCTGCCTCCTGCAGCGTGTGCGTTACCTTGACGGCCGCGTGCGACGGAGTGAGCAGTCGAGGCAATTGCACAAATTAATGCCACCGGGCGCTGACTGTTGCTTTCTGCTGCTCGCTGCTGCTCGCTGCTGCACTCTGCCGCAGTTCAGCTGGCGTCTCGCTGCGGCACGTTCCTCATGCGCTGCCCTGGCCAAGAGACAGACAGACAGACAAACAGACAGACAATTCTCAAATGAGTCAACAGCACTAAAATTGTTTATTTTATTATCCAGGCAATACTTTGAGCGCAGCAAGTGGTTCGTACTTATCTGGGAGACTGTGACAGTAGCAGAAGCCGGCTGGAAGTCTGTAAAGAATATTTACTACGGATTGTAAGCAGTTTTTTATGCAAAGTCTTCTTTACGTAACATTTTCAATTATTTTAGCTAAAAAAAAAAATTAATATTTACTATAAATTTGCTGTATAGGTAGAAATTTATCATGAATATTATATTTTAAATAGTATTTAATGCCAAGTTTAAATAATAATTTCAATTATTTGAGCTCAAAATTATAAATAATACTTTCTATGGATTTGCTTGACAGGTATAAAATTTGTCATGCATTTAAATTAAATTATTTTATTTTATCTTTCAATTATTTTAGCTAAAGAAAGTCCAAAAGGCAGCAAGCTCATGCAGAGAAATCGATCTAGTCCAGGCGAAATAATGGTAATAAAAAGTTATTTCAACAATTCCCAATACTTATTCGGCCGATCTGGCAACGCCGTACGTTTGCTTGACCAACTTTAAGAGCTGGCCAAAGAGCCCAAGCCGAGCTATGCGAATAATCGTCGCAGCTGGCGATCGAGCCGCGAGTCACGTCACGTTCCCGGTATAAAACCAAATGCGGAGCAGCTAATGCAATCAGTCAGTCGCCAGTCGCCAGGTGAAGAGCCAACAACAACGTGTACGCAAGTCAGTCCAAAAGCAGAGCAAACGCTAAACCCCCGCGCCGCAACGTGTCCAAGTGCAAAGTGTTCGAACCGAGCAGCCCGAAAATGTGTGCCCCAAGCCAATTGAGGTTAATCGGAGCAATGCTCGTGCCGCTCCTCGTGCTGCTGCTGTTGGTGGTGGCAGGCAGCGAGGCGCGTCCCATGGATCTGTACGATGATGTTAGCGATTTCTTTGATGCCATCTCGCTGGACGATGTGGCCAATACCGGTCGCAACACGCATCCGGAACAGTTCTGCATGATGCCGGCACGGAAAGGCGTCTGCCGTGCATTAATACCGCGTTGGCGCTACGATCCGGAGCAGAAAAAGTGTGTGGAATTCAAGTTTGGTGGCTGCGATGGCAACGAGAACAATTTCCCCAGCTACAAGACCTGCATGGCCACCTGTGAGGGCATGTAAGGGGTGTGTAGGGGAGTGGGAGGGGGAGGGGGAGGGGGAGGAGTACTCTGCTGATCGGCATTTCCGTATCCGATTGGCTGGCGTTGCCAAAGGCGCATGCTTTTTTTTTCGTCCTCTATCAAGTAGCGAATCAAGGGCAGCATTTACTTATAAAACACACACACACACACTCGCACACACACCTGCACACACTCGCACACACACCTGCACACACTCGCACACCCATTAAGCAACTGTCTTTCAATAATTGTCTTTAATATTTATACAGTTTCTTTCTTTTTTTTATATTTAAGTAAATTCCATGCATCATTCCTTAAGACAAATCCCATTGTACTTGTTAAAAATAAAGGTGTCCAACACTTTTCTAGCTCTTAAGTTATTGTGATAAATATTCATGATGAAATAAAGAATAAAAGAAGAAAACTGAAAAATATATCAAAATTTGGATTGTTATTTTGTTGAATATACGCTATTTGAGTTGCTTTTGCCAATCTATAAAATCATATAAATGTGCTCTAAATTTATTTATTTATATTTATGAAGATATTATACTTATATTCAAATTTGTCAAAAGTTTAAAAATGCAACACAGTCTAGACTTCATCTGGAAGTATTCTTAAACAGCCCAGACTTCCTCTTGGAGTATTTTATAGCAGAGAAAAGTCACAGCAGAGACTTTAGCTTAATTTATTTTATAGTATACAAAAAAGAGACCTCATCTTGGAGTATTTTATTGTAGGAAAGAAAGCCAAGAATTAATCTTCAATTATTTTATAGTATAAGGAAAATGAGTCACAACCAAGACATCATATTGGAATATTATAGAAGAACAAAAGGAGACACAGCCAAGAATATTTTATAGCAAAAAAAAAGAGACTTATTTTTCAAGTATTTTATAGTAGAAATAAGACAGAACCAAGACTTAATCTTGAAGCAATTTATAGAAGAATAAAAATAGGACAAAACCAAGACATTATCTTGAATTGTTTATAGTTGAAAAAAGAGACAACCAAGACTTCAGCTTGAATTATTTTATAGCAGAAGGAAAAGAGACGTAGTCAAGTCTTAATATTGGAGGAAAATAGAAAGAAATCAAAGACTTTATCTTGCAGTAATTTATAGTAAAAAAAGAGACTTCATCTTAAAGTATTTTTTAGTAGAAGAGGGAGAACCAAGACTTTAGCTTGAAGTATTTTATGGCAGAAGGAAAAGAGACGTAGTCAAGTCTTCATATTGGAGGATAATAGATACAGCAAAAGACTTTATCTTAGAGTAATTTATAGTATAATAAAAGAGACTTCATCAGACTTATAGCCAAGTCTTCATATTTTGTAGTAAGAAACATAACCAAGTCTTCATATTGGATTAGCTTATAGCAAAAGAGTTAATCGATCAAAGCATCATCGAATTTTCTAGCATTCGAATTTTCTAGCTAGCAAAACCAGTCGCAATTTAAAAACAAAAAAAAGGAAGCCGAAAAAAATCATACAAGCAGCATATGCAACAGCATAGACTAGAGCTCAGCTTGAGAACATGTATTTCATGGATTTCCGCTAAAAAGTAAACAAATCTAGCTAAAGTCTAAACGTATTCAAATCGAGCTTGAGCTCAGCTGAAGCTAGCTTACAAGCTGTGGAGATCATAAACAAAGCCTACATACTTAAAAAAAAAAAAGACTATTCATTGATTTCTAGGCTGGCCCCTGGGCTAGACAAAAGACAGAGAAAAAAACAATAATAGAGACCAGTCTCGGTGCAACTTTCGTAGATTTCACTTGGAAATGGCCCAAGTCGCCTGGCTTCGAGTTATTTCTCAAAATGCGAGCCATTCATGCGAATATTCGCAAAAAAAAAAAAGAAACACAAACAAACGACTCGTAAACAAACCAGATCAATAGCTGCAAAGGTCACACAACGAGCATGATAATGATGTTCATAATGATGATGATGATGATGATGAGTGGACCACGTCAATGGATGCCTAGTTGGGTCTAGGTAAACCAGTACGAGACGTCAGACGTGAGATCATGATTTGGTGTGAATAAACATAAACAATTGAAAGGTGCGAATTTATGTTAAATCGATTGCCAATAAACATAATTTGTTTCGTGTCCCAAACAAAGCCTTTCAAGCGAAACCGAAAGCGAGGGCAAACCGGAGAGCAGCAAACGGGTCTACCTGAGCCCTGGATACGGGCCAAGCAACTCATTTCAGGCCCAATCTGCGGGCCAGTTAGCCATATTTGTGTTTTTACTGTAGGTCTTTTTTTCTTATTTACAACTATTGGATCAATGACCTATAGATGGCAGCTTTTAATTAAGTTACAGCTAACGGCACAGGGCTGAGCAGAAAAAAAAGCTGTTAATTAAAGCTAAATTTACACTTTTGCTGAGCCTTATAAGAGGGCCGGGCAAATGCGAATAGCTAAATTCCCACTAAGCTGCTTAAAGGGACCTAAAATAATGGGTAAATAGCTAAATTGGCAGCACTGGCCCAGACACAAAAGGACAGCGGCGTCTTTGGAAGATGCTCATACATATAAATATTGATAAAAATTGATATTTATTTTAAAAAATTGAGTTAAATAATGCTATATTTAATTTTCTATATGCAAATTTCATTAGCCAGGATAAATTGGAACTATAAAGGTTGCCAGACAATTAAAATCGAGGAACAAGATCTACGACAAGTGTTGCGTAACGCCTTGTTGTGTAATTTTACCTCAGTCGAATTTCTTAGGCTGGCAGTAAGAAAAATCCCTTTAAATATCCTTATTGAGGGAAAAAAACTACGACAAGTGCTGAGTAACGCCTTGTTGTGGAATTTTACCTTAGACACAAAAGTCAAAGAACTTTTTACGCTGGCAGTAAAAGTCCCTTAAAATACATTTATTGGGGAACATTACCTACGACAAGTGTTGGGCAACGAGTTGTTGGAGAACTCAACTTAACTAAACTCAACGATCTTTTTAAGCTGGCAGTAAATTTCCCTTCTTTTAGTAAAGATTACCGATTAGTGTTGGGTAAAATGACAAAATGGGCAGCACTGGCAGCGACACAAATTTCAAGCAGCAATCTTCTATGATGTTAACATATATAAAATCTATATTTAGTTCAAATAAAGTGTAATTAAGCTATATTGTCTTTTTGTGCCTAGTTGAAGAGAAGCAAATCTTATTAGCCCGGATAAATGGGAATTATAAAGCCGTTATAGCCAGTGCAAGTTTTCCCACTATTATTCATTTTGATTGACGAATAAATGGCGGAACTGGCAGCACTGGCTCAAAAAAACAAAAGCGGGCAAAATGCGAGCCCATATGGATTATGTTTATGATTACATATGTACATATACGTATATATACACACATACACACACATACAGTTATTATGCTCTTGTTTTCATTTCGTTTTGCCAATATTTATGTCATACTATTGTTGTTGGTTTTATTAATTCACAATGGTGCGGACTTTGCACAATTATTTGTAATTTAGCGCCGACTAAAGCGTAGTGGACCCACGCGCGGTTGAGGGGGGAAGGGGGGCATTCATATTTGGCGTGCTCACGTTTTATGCCCAGTTTCAGTCGTCCAGTCGCCAGCTCGAATCCAATCAAGCTCAGCTCAGACTCAATAACCGTTTCCATTTTGTTTTTTTTTTTTTCATTCGATTTTATTTTTCGCTTTTAGCTTTTGTCCAATGATTGTGTTTTTTTGTTTTTTTTGTTTTTGTTTACGCGCCTGCGCAACGATATTTGCGCGGCTTTTCGCAATCGGGTTGCGAACTTTGCTAAGCTTCTGGCAAATTCTATGCGGCCAATTGGGCAAGAAGCCGCTCGCTCGCATTTGCAGTTGCTGCCAATTGAAATTGGCTCGCAACAAAAGACAAAATGCGGGCGACAGAAGTCAATAAACTGTTTTAACCTGCATATTAACTGAAAACTAACAACAATTGCGGCACGCTAGGCAATTTGAAAAATGTTGAAAAATTAATTAAAATGCAACAAGCGCACCGCCAGCCTATGAAAATGCACAATAACAAATTTTCCGCCTTGTACAACAACAACAACAACAACAGCACGCGAACGGCAAATATATTGTGTTTAATGTTTTATTTTGTTGTTGCTTGCATTTTTTATGCTTTTGCCGTTGAAATTTATTTATTGAAGGCACGTAGCGCGCACAAAACTGCAAAAAAAAAAAAAATGTGCAACAAATAAGCCAACAACAACAACAACAACAACAACTAATGTCAGCCGACCACAGTGCGCGCCGCCCCCTTGCTGGTTTGTGTCTATGTTAAAGTGACGAAGACGACGACGACTACGACTTTAGCGGCAAAAGTCAACGAACTTTTAACGCTGGCAAAAAAAACGTCCCTTAAAATACCCTTATTAAGGTAACATTATCTACGATAAGTGCTGGGTAACGCCCTGTTGGGGAATTTACTTTAGCCACAAAAGTCAACGAACTTTTTGCGCTAGCAGAAAAAAGTCCCTTAAAATACCCTTATTAAGGTAACATTATCTACGATAAGTGCTGGGTAACGCCTTGTCGGGGAATTTAACTTTAGCCAGAAGAGCTAATGAGCTTTTAACGCTGGCAAAAAAAAGTCCCTTAAATAACCTTATTGAGATAATGGGTAACGTCTTGTAGGGTAATTCACTTTAGCTACAAACGTCAACGAACTTTAACCCGCTGGCAGTAAAAGTCCCTTTAAACACTTAAGGAAACATTGCGTAAGACAAGTGTTGGGTAAAGTTGTTAGGAAATTTTACTTTAACCACAAAAGTCAACGAACGTTTTGCGCCGACATCAAAAAGTCCCTTAAAATACTCTATTGTAGAAACATTACCTACGACACGTGTTTGGAAACGTACTGTTAGCGTATTCCGCTTTGCTTTTTGAAACATTTACTGTTTTTTTTTTAATGTTTAATAAATATTGTTTACCCTACCCCATTTTGCAGCTAGGGTATTTCAGCTTCTTCACAATCAAATTGAAGCAGCTGCTGCTTTGTTGTTTACATTGTTGTTGATAGTGGGAAAAATACATGGCAATATAAACATGAGGAATCCATAGCTATTGTTGTTGTTGTTGTTGTTGTGACAGCTGATAGTGCAAATATGCATAATGATGCGTAAATGGACACACACACATAATTGGAAGTAATTTCCTGTATGCTTAAGTGGCCCTTAAATAAACAGATAAACCTGCACCTTCCGAGCACAAAGTGGAAATATATATATATATATATATATAACGACAAAAAACCCCAAGCTTTAAGAAATTTTAAATGGGTAGGCTGTTTATCGTAGATAAGAATGCTTCAGTTTAACGCTTGTCACATGCTCAAACTTACCTAATAACAGATAAAACTGGGGAATTTCATCAACTTTAGTTAGTGTTTAATTTAGCTTTAGCTACCAATTGCTAAATACAATATTATATAATTATTGTAACTAACAGACGCAATGTAAATATATATATGTATATACTCAATTTTTCTTTAATATATATATATATTTATATTATCGGTTTGTTGTCTTTGTGGATTAGTAGAATCGTTTGATAGGCGTTCGGAGCTTAACTTTTTACTCAACTATCATTCTTTACTTAGCGGTAGCAAAAAATATGTTTCACATTCTTAAGATCTTCGTATTTTGTTTTTGTTTGTTTGTTTGTTTGTTTGTTTGTTATTTCAAATTATGCTTTTTCGCTTTGCAGCCTAGTTCTACATTTTAACATTAGTTCATGGGTTTTTGTTAGCTTCTCACTTTAACGTCAACGTTTGCTATAATTTGTTTGGCTTGCATTCGAATTGGTTGGGATTGGGACAAAGAGACTGGAAGTAGAAAAACAATAGAAAAAAAAACAATTGTGCTCCAGCGGCGAGCAAAGCACATCAAAGCGAAACGGCGAGTGTTGAAAGGAAGGAAGGCGCAGACGTAGATAGGATCTAATATTAGCACGCGATGTCCGTGGTGACGCTCTTGATGCTCTCGGAGCTGAAGTGAACGCAACCGTATTTGCAGACGAGCGTCCAGACATATGGAATGAAGAACTCCTCGGGCGCATCCTCCTCAACATATTTAAACTTTAGATCCGGGAATTTCTGAAAGTAAACCAAATATATGTTATATAGAACTGAAATCGTTTTAGTTCTGGCTTACCCTCAGGCGATCGCTGGACCATTGGCTGGCGCCTTTTGATATCACCTCGAGCACTTCGTTGACGCCCAGCTCGCCGCGCTGCTCCTGCACACGCTGCAGGCGCGAGGAGAAGAAGCCAACCACCTGCAAAATGTGTATGATTAAAAAGAATATCGTACATATTACAGGGCTTATAGCTGGACGCACCATATCGATGTTTTGTATGACATCTTGGAACGCATGATGACTGCGGAAGCCCTCGAAGACGCTGCGCTTGTAGAGCAGCGTATAAACCAAATTGGGACAGTAGACGAGCTGATTTGTAAGGCAGGAGTTTAAGATTTCCAATACCATGCGCAGCACCTCCTCCAGCACACTCAAATCCTGCATCATGTCCTCGGGCGTTGTTGCCACATTCACAAACACAGCACTATCGGCCGGCTCCTTCAGCTGGGCATCCAAACGTGTATGCTTGCGCGCCAGCGTCTCGAATAGCGATACCAAACGCTGTGCCACATACGGATGCAGGGCACGAAAATGGCCAGACATGTTGGCCAGCGCGGCCAGGCAATTGGTGTGCAAATACTTGTCCCGCATCTTCAGCATATTGTACTGAATGGTGCGTATGACAATCAGGATGAGAATGCCGCCCAGCGATATCTCCGATATCGTGCGCTCCGTATACCAGCTGATGTTCTTCAGCAGCTGCAAATGGAAAAGAGGATTAGCTAAATAGAAGGGAAGAGGGACGCGACTCCACTTACAATTGTGTGCACGTTCTTATTGAAGCCCTCGTCCTCGCTGAGTATGAGCAGCACGATGAGCGACATGTAGATGTGATGTGAATTGCTGTCGGGCGCATTGTACAGCGTCTGCAGTATGGGTATGACCAGCTGCTCCAGATCCTGCTGTTGCATGACAAACCTGTAGAAGCGCTCGTTGCGATGCAGCAGCAAATAAAGCAACAGCGTCGCCTGATCGATGGTCACAATGCGGCACAGGGTCTCGTACACAGCCGAGAAGTCAATTTGAAAGGAGACCGCGCCGCTGCCCTGCTTGGGCGAATCCTTCGAATCGGCGCAGCCAAACAGGCTCGTGCGATAGGCATTATCCTGGGCGGTACAGTGATTAGTCAATATCAGTATGAGCAACAGGCTCTGGTTAGCCAAGGGATAATGCGTGCGGAATTGCTGCGACAGCTCCTCGCCGGTGGCGTTGCTCGTCTTGAGCACATCCTGTTGCTTGCGAAACGTGAAAATGGACAGCAGCGACTCGGCAATGCCAAAGACAAACGAACCAGCCGAACTGGAGCCGAACATGGTGTGCGGCACCTCCACCATGCGTGCCACAAAATGCAGCAGCGCCGACATCAGCACATTCGCGTGCTGGCACTTGTAAATGGTGCGAAAGACAATGGATTTATCTGTGGGCTGCTGCTGCTGCTGGGCAAACAGATGCACCGCCAGCAGCGTGATCAGCGTGTTGACAGACTCGAGATGCAGATGATAGGTGAACTCCTTGACGGGTATGACAACAATTAGATTGAACAGCGCATCGATGAACGTCTCGAACTTGGCGCCGTCCACAATGAGCGCTGCCAGCGGCGCCTGTTCCGTCGCCTCAATGGCAATGCTAGCCGCTGCCTGTTGCTGTTGTTGCTCCTCGGCGGCTTTTAGCTGCTCGGCGCTGGGCATGGCCTCGAAGTGCTGCAGCAGCTGAAACTCGGAGCCCGTCTCGTTGATATACTTGATCAGTGTGCGTATGATGAAGAGCGCATTGAACGTGTGCCACACATGCATGTTGCTCTCCTGATCCGAGAGCGACAACAGCTCCGAGGCCTTCTCCAGAAAGACGGTGATCAGCGAGCCGAAATTACCCGTCTTCAGATTATTGCCTATAAACGATTGACACAGTGTCTCCAGGCGCGAGTCCAAGCTCAGCTGATCCTGGCTGCAAGACATAAGTTTCATGTTAGCCGCCGCCAACTTGCTGACGTGTTGCCCGACCTACCTGTTCTCTGGCATTACTATATTGTAGTTGAGCAGCCCGTTCCAGAAGGCCTCGTCGTCGTGGGCTATGTGCTGTCGCGCCACAAACCGCTGAAGCCATTCATTCGACGCCAAGTCGGCATTTCTGCTGACGTTTATGCCCATCTTTTTGGTTCTTGCTCTGACTGCTGCTCACTGCTGCTGCTGCTGCTGCCGCTGCCGCTGCTGCTGCTGCTACTGCTGCTGCTGCTGCTCTCCTGTTAGCTCGTAGGTGTTTAGCGCATTTGATGCCACTCGCCAGGGCTCTGAGCCTTTTTTCAATTTACAAATAATAACAATTCTCCGTGTTGGCACTAGGCACGTCACCCATTTATTTGTATGTGTTGTTTTTTTTCATATGTTTTTGATCTGCCACATACGCGTACTTTACAACACTACGCACAGCGCTGCAAGTGCTGGCTGGTTCCGGCTCAGAAGTTGAGCAGCTGAACTTTTAGCAAATTTTAATTTTAATAAAAAACAAAAGGGTTTTATTTTTCATATACATATTTTTTTTAACATTTTATTTTAAATATAATATAATATATTTTTTATAATATTACTACAAAGTTAAGCGAATTTCACTGTAGTTCATGCCCAAGAACATAGTGCCATTGAACTAGTTTCACGCGGAACTGCCGTTGACTTTGGGCGTTACACAACATTCTTTGTTTCGCGTGACGTCAATTTTGCTCCGTTTAAGTTAATTTTGAAATTTTTAAAAACTTCGTTTTGCCTACAGATGTTTTGTGCTGTAGAAGATTGCGCAAACCCAAAATCGAAAAATCGTTACTTTCCGTTTCCAAAGGATGCCAAGCTATGTGAGAAGTGGGCGCTTTTCTGCCGGCGCACGGATGAGATAAATACCAAGCTCGAGAAGATCTGTGTGAAGCACTTCCAGGCCGACGACTTTGAAAGAGATTTGCCATACGAGCTGGGCGTGTACAGCAAGCCACGCCCACTAAAACTAAAGCTGGACGCGGTGCCCAGCGTGCATAACAAGCAGGAGGAGGAGGAGGAGGAGGCGGAGGAGGAGTACCTAGAGATCGGTTACGTTGAGGAGCAGAAAGCGTTTAGCTATGGGCTAGAATCGAAGAAATCGCGCCAAGCGAAGGCTGTGGCACAGCGAAAACAAGTTGTGGATGCGCTCATAACGGAGTATGATGAGCAGCAGCACCAGCTGGAGAATAATTCCATGGACAGCGATGTGGATGAGGAGGATGATATGGAAGAGCTGCCGGCTGAGGAAGTTGTGCAGGTGGTGGTCGATGCCGAGGCCTATCTCACAGCTCTAGAGCGAGAAAAGTCTGTAGCGTAGATCTCTCAAAGAAATCTTCATATTAATTTTATTTTCTTGCAGCACGGATCTGAGGCGTGAGAACTTTAAACTGAAGCTTGCCGCGGAAAAAGATGCGGCAACAATAGACAAGCTGCAAAAACAGCTGGACAAATGCAAGGAGCGCTATGATGAATTGTATGACAATCTGAGTAGAACCTTCTCCAAGGCACAAATCCAAAAACTGCAAAGCGGCAAACGCGTCGTCTGGCTGAAGCGAGATCTGCGCGACTCGTGTGTGCTCTATGCAACCAGTCCAAGTGCCTACAATATGCTGCTCCAAAAGGGCTATCCCTTGCCGTCCAAGAGAACGCTGCAGCATTGGGAGCGAGTCCAGCGCCTTGAGCAGAACGACGATGAGATCCAGAGCTGCGGCACGTTAGATCAAATTGAGGAGCAGCTGGAACAGGAGAGCTGCCAGCTGATAGAAGTTGTAGACATAACGCATGTAGATCATAATTATGTTAACAATATATTAGCCGAGCTTTAATTATGTGTGTGATTATTATAGAAGCATATATATATAAGTAAAATATTTGATTAGCAATACTATTTATGAGAAATCTATGCACTTAGTTGCTTATGACAATGATTTAAATAGATTATATGAAATAGTTTTTAAAAAATAATAATAAGAACATTTGATTTGGATAATAATGCATTTATTTGAAAAATATTAATTTCAACTAAAACTAAAATTTTATACTGCTCCGCATAATTGCAGGCCATATATAAACTTGGCAATTGGACTATTCCCACGTTTTCAATTGTTTATAAACTTCCACTTAGTCGTTTCATATTTGTTACAATTTAGAATTTGCATAGCTAAGAATATAAATATATATGTATATATATGCATATATTGCGACTTGTTTACACATACATATATACAGACTATATATAAGAACTAAAAGAGGCAAATCAGGATCGCATAGGAGGTCGCACAACTAACACTTAGAACATCCTCATCATCATCATAATTATCATCATCACGATCATCATCATTAGTACACAATTAACTATCACAAGTTTTATTCAAATTTTTGTTGGCATTGCGCAACTGTTGCAAGCATCTCTCTGTATGTGTCTGTGTGTGTGTGTGTTTCTGTGTGTGTGTGCGAACAAGAAAATATATATACATATACTAATTGGTGCATCTCAAAAAATATATATATATATGTGACTGCCTTCAAACGAAAAATGTTATTAACTGAACACTCCGAGCTATTTAGCCATGTCGCTGCCTTCTGTCTGTGTGTGTGTGTGTGATTTTTTGTATGGCTGGTGACTTAACTTAAAGAAATATACACTACATATGAGCATGGGAACTGAGTAATGTGGTATGTGACGCCTCTGATCAGGGCATGGCTAAGGGACTCGGTTTAACGCTCGCCTCACATCTGATCTGTGTTCCCGTTCTTTGGCTTAAAGCTTGCGCAGCGCATTGTGTTTGTTGTGCTTCTTGGCCAGCAGCTGCTTCAGGCTGAACGAGGACAGCGCTATGCCAAAGAGGGCCAACATGGTGGCAGAGCGGGTCACCACGCGGTTCGGCGACGAGGATCTGGTGGTGAACGCATGACTGCTGTGCGTCGAGGCCTGCGCGGAGAGCGGCGATCCCTGCAAAAGAGATAAACAAGGCAAACAAACAAGCGCATTAAAACAAGTCTGATAAAAACTGGTATAAAGGCATTTCAACTTGTTATCATTTGCATAAGGTTATATATTGTTTATATGCTCAGCACTTTTGCTATTTTTAACAAAACAAAACCTGTCAAACTCAGCCAAATTGGCCGATTGCCCAAATATCTGGTGCCGGCTTCTGGTTTCTACTGCGCAGCGGTTTAATTGCAGTTGGCAACAACGGGCAAATGTCTGATTAACCCCACAACGATTCATTTCCCACGTTCATTGAACTGATTAAGGCATTATCGCTGTAAGGCCTAATCGGCATGCTGATGAACTTGTAACACCTGTGCAACTATCTATATTAGCCCCCAGCAACGTCATTTATCTATGTACTCGACTGTACTAGTTTTTTCTATGGCTGCAATTAGCGCAGCTTTTGCATTCAATGAAACTAGCCAAAGACGCAAAAAGCTGGAAACGCGTGGCTTGTGACGTCAGCATAACACAGCACAGTGGGCGAAGGATGGTTGAAAAAGTGATCAAATCAATTTTTAGCCTGCACAATATATTATATATAAAGAGCATTAAAGCGAGAAATTTAAATCCAAAATATATGTGAAAAATTTGCATTGCTATTTCACTGCAAATTGACAGGAAATTTCCTTTAAATTGTGTTTAAAGCAAAATATAATTGCTTAATTTAAATATAAATTATAGCTAATGTAGCAAATAAGTTAGTTTAGTTAATTAGAAAAGTTGAAAAATTACCAAAAAATTAATAAGAATAAAATGTACAAAGTATTGGTATAATACAAAATAAATGCATGCAAAGTTTTGTTGTGTAATTTGTTTGTTGGTTGAATTATATTCGTAGATTTAACGTTTCTTAACTATTTATAGATAGTTTAATTATTTTTAGAATTGCCGCGACTGTGTCAAGTGTTGCAAATGTGTGCAAATTCTTATTTGGCAATTTGTTGCCATTTTTGCAAACTTGGCACCACTGTGCGCAGCCGACGTTCATGTTTGAAACTTATCAGCGGCTCGTCTCGCTGCGACTCTCAGCGCCTTGCATGTTGTGACGCACTTGGTTTGACCTGCTTTCCTTCTCTTTTCCTTCTTGATTCGCAGCATTTCTCTGGGCGCTATCTCCAAATCTGGCGACCATTGCTCAACATGCGCTGGACGCGTGCCGTGCATAAATAAAGCAGTGACCGTCAAAATTCTCAGTGTTTATAAATAATCCGAATTTGTTTGTAAATTTCGCACACACACACACGGATACACATGCAAATTTTGGTGGGCGAATTTATTTCGAAAGACAATAAAAAAGCCAAATTTGTTTTTCTCCTTGCGCTCAATGAATTTGCTTTGCGTTTGCTTTTGCTTCCTGCTCCAGTTCCGGTTCCGATTCACTTTCTGTTTTGCTCTCCTTCTGCCTGCTGACCGCCTCGATGCGCTCCAGCGTCTGCTTCACATCTTGTATACGCAATCGTGCGCCTCCAGAGGGCGCATTTTCGCGTCGCTTTGGATTCCTGCCGCGTGGTGGACGCCTCGTTGCCATCGTCGGTGGACGCTTCAGTGCATCCAGAAACAGACTCGCGGTCTGGGTGGGCGCCGTTGCAAACGAGCTGGACGTGGCCTGCGGCTGTTGCTCCTGGTTTTTGCGCACCTGTGTGGAGGCCTTTCTGGGCGGCGTCTGGAAGAAACTCCGCTTTGGCGTGTCTTTAATCGTTGGACTCTTGGGTTTGGGCATGGACTGTTGCTGCACCGATTGCGGTATGGAGATCGTGTAGACAATGTTGCCAGCTTTGGCGCTCAGCTCAAATGCCGGTTCGGGTTTGGAGCTGGCAGCTGGAACTGGCTCATTGGAAGGCGAGCTTATTAGTTCCGTTATGCAAACAGGTTCCGTTAGCAAATCAGGCATAGACTGTTCCGTTGTTGATTTTGTGGCTGCTGCAACAGGTGAAAGCTTATCACATTGCTCGAGATTGAACGCCTTTGGACTATTGGCATTTGCACTGCAGAGCAGTTGCTGCGCACTTTCCCAGTGATTAGGCATGGAGAGAATATCCTCAATGTTGCAGTCATTGCTGGTCGATGGTGCGTTTGGAGTCAAGCTGGAGCTGGAATCACAGCTGTAATTGGCGGAATTCGGGTTGGTGTCCACAGTGGAATCATCGCCTGTTGCCAGCTGTTCGAGCAGCTGCTTAATAAATTCATCATCATCAACATGCGTGGATTGCGATTGCGTCTCGCCCTCCTCATCGGAGGAGGAGGAGGAGACGGCATCGTTGTGCGGCCAAAGGCAGGTGCGGGATTCACATTTAAGCAACTGCTCCTCGAGATTCAGGTAAAAGTAGCGCAGCTTGTGATTCAGGCCCTGACTCAGGCATTCCACACACGCATCGCCCGCTTGCAGGCCGTCCATTGTGCGTGCGGGTGTGTGTGTGTGTGTGTTGTGTGTGTAGGTGTGCGAGGAAATACTCCGAACGTGTTTGGGAAATTTCTCTTATGCGTAATTTCCCCTTTAATTTGCATACATTTTTTGCATTTGCGAATACTTTGTTTAATGCGTTATTTAGCGTATGCTCACCTGTCCGAAGGTTAAACGAAATGCGTACAATCCGATATTAGTTGTTTTCATGGTCCGTACAAGCAATTATTATCTGAAACATACATAAACAAAATTTCGGTTTTGAGCACAAGCCAGCTTACATAATACGAAATTGATTTTTCACTCTTTTTTTTTTTAAATTTCTCTGCTTCATTGTGTTGGAAAATGTCAGTGTGAACGTCGTCGACACTTGCTTATCACTTACATTATATGTGTGAGTAAAATTAATGCGCTGCTCTCGATTGACGTCTCCTCTATTATGCAGTTCCGAGCGTTCTGCGTTGAGATTATTTAAATGTATTAATAAATAAAATGCAAATAAAATGCTCTAGCGGGCATGCCACACCATCTGACAGGGCTGCTATGGAAAAGAACTAGTGCTGGACTCGTGTACATATGAGGCACGAGTCGGCACGATTCAGCACAAAGTGCATATCTAACTAGCAATTATCAACTTAAGAAAATTGATTTGATTATCTTGCTTACAAACAGCATTAATTGATTGGTTATTGTATTCAAATATTGTGTTATGTTTGTGATGTTAATGCAAATTTCTGCACGAGCTCAGCTCCAGCAAGAACCTGCCATTTTCCAGCATGCGTTTTCATTGCCAGATCAGGTAACGCTATCGTTTTGTTTACATTTTGTAGGAGACATCCTTATGCGATATGGCAATGTCAAAGTACTGTTTTCCTCATTTATATCGTAAATTTTTCAAAGTAGTAGACTTTGCATGAATTATAACAAGCAAGTAAATTATTATAAATCGATGTTTCATATTTAGCATTCCACTTTTTTGAGCTGCTTTGTAAGCGTCATTTATTTACTTTTAGCAAAAACAAAAAGTTAACGCGCTTACCAACACTTTCTTTTACAGTCGGTGACTCGCTGCAAAGCCATTTCATAATACAAGCGTGTGCGTTCAACTTTTGCATTTTTACTAGTAAGAAATCAAAATGGTTCTTTCTGATGGTGCTAAGGAACGTCTAGGCGTTGTTGTGGATGTCATTCAGACCACATTCCACTGGGGATTTGTGCCAATGGTCCTTTATTTGGGTAAGTGCCTACAGCACGTGCGATAAGAAGAAGCAGCGGTGCAAATGTTATCTATTGATTTTGTATTGACGCTCATGTTTTCTATCTTTCTATAATATAGGATTCTCGAAAGGTGCAGAGCCTGGCATGCCACCACTGTCGCTTCTAAGTCTCTTGTGGCAATAACTATTTCATAATGAAACAAGCAACGGCAGCGTCCTCATCGTTAAATTAACAAAATGTTCTTGTTGACTGCTTGGCATTTGCACAGTACTAGTACCTGTAAGAACAGCTGGCGGAAATAAATTTCTGTTATAACAATTGAAAAATGCTTCGTGATTCAAACAGCGGTAATTGCTGTAAATATATTTAAATAAATTCGAGACCATATAAAAATTTGTGGTATCACTGGTTGCGCTGCAAGTGGCAGCGCCGTATAGTATTTTTTCTTTACAGAAATATTGTATTTTCGCTCTAACTCGAAACGGTCACACTGTTCACATCGTTCGCAAAACCACTCGCACTCAGACGGGTTTTCCGCTGATTTCGTTCAACAAAAATTCATATATAACAAATAAATAATACAATTTAACGCAAACATAACCCTGCACAATACAATTTAAAGTGCTGGCCACAAGTGTAAATAAGTTTCAGTTGCTAAACAAGCCGCTAAAGTGCCAAACTCACGTGATGAAAATACGGCTGAAAACTTCAACGTAAAAGTGGGAGGGGATACGAATTTTTCTAATTGGATTTGCAAGAAGTGAACGAATTTGTCAGATCCATCGGGTTAACCGTGTTTAATGCGTGCCAGGTGCACCGAAAAAAATGCCAAAATTGCCAAATAAGAATACAAATAGTGGCTACTTGCTAAACGAATGCACAAACAAAATGTAAGCTCGCCGCGGGTGCAAGCAGAGCGCGAGGCCGACTTCGAGTCCCCCTTACCCCCACACACGCCCACCGCCCCCGTGTCCTACACAATAAATGCGCAATACAAAGCAAATTAGTTGCCGCCGTCTGCAGTCGACGTTGACGGCGCTGCCGTCTCCTTTACATAGTTTCGTTTGTGCCGTTGTTGTCGTCAACAAGGAGTGAAAAATAAGTTTGCTGCGGCTGCTCCCCCCCCTCCCCACACAGACTTTGAGCTAGCGCGCGCTTGTCTGTACGTGTGTGTTTGTGTGTGTGAGTGCGTGCATTTGTGTGTGCGCGGGGAAAACAAAAGAAAAGCACAAAAACGAAAACAATAACAAGCGCCAGGCGCACGGACAGCGCGTTTATCAAAAAAGCAAATACAAACAAAATGTGGACGCAGCTGCTCTGCCTGCTGGCGCTGCTCAACGCCAGCTGCGGTAAGTGCCAGGACACAACTCGTGTTTCTTTTTCTTTTTTTTCGTTTTCTTTTTTAGAGGTGCGAAACTAACCTAAATTTTTATTTTCTCTTCCCCCTCTCTCTCTCTCTCTTTGCCCGCAGCTTCGCCCGTTGAGATTGTCGCACAACCGACTGAAGCTGGCCACAAATTGGCAGCGACAACAACAACAAATGAAACAGCTGGCGCTTATCTAACGAAATCGTCGCTGCCTGTCGCTGATAACAGCGGCCATGGCAACAACAACAGCAATAACAGCAGCAACAACAACAACTCAGTGCCCATACAATTGCCCACAACAGACGCTGCCTCAGGCTCTGCCGCCGCCGCCGCCGCTGCTGCTGCTGCCCCTCAGCTGCGAATGTCGGTGCCGACTTACCCGCCGCTGCAGAACAAGAAGCACGAGAGTAAGTCCAAAACGCAAAACAGAAGCGGGCCTCGCGTGACTTTAACACCTCGCAAGAGCAGCTCCGTCTGCCCGTCCACCCGTCCCCCCGTCCGTCTGTCTGTCTGTCTGTCTCTGACATGTCTCGCCTCTTGTCGTCTCGTGACGTCAGCGCGCGGCGTCGATGTCAATGCGCTGCGGCGCAGACAAAGCTCTCCAAAGTCGTCCCCTCCCTCAGCCCGACTGACTGCAGCAGACACTTGCACTGCAGTTCACCCACCCCCGCAGCTCGAATTGCAAATGCAACTGCTGCAGCCGCAGCTCAACAAAACTGGCGCGCAACGTCAACAGCGACGCCAGCGGCGACGTCGACTTCGTCTGGGTTCTTTATGCTTTCCGCTTTGCACTTGTCTTCTCGGCGCGTCGCGGCTTTTGTTGTTGTTTTTTTTTTATTATGCTAAATGCCTTTTGTTTTTCTTGTTTTTTTTTCTTTTTTTGTTTCCTTTATTATTTATTTTTTTCTTGTAACCCGAGTCCGCCCACTTGAGGGGAGGGGGGGGGGGGGGGGCAGGGCAATGTCTGCGATCGCTTAAGAAAATCAATACGAGACCAAATTACGAATTATGATTAATGAATCTTTAAACGGGGGGCTACCTGCGACTTGCTAATTGGCATCAAGCAACGCGTGTCCACGGGGCTTTACAGTTTGAGGTGACAACAACAGTTGTTGATGTTGGGTTTAGATAAGGCAAAGACATAATAGAAATTATAGCTGAAATAGGCTTTGAGTAACGAATCTTGTTGGGATCGTATCCTGGAATGCTAACTGGAAAGTTGTCTTTTATCTTATACCCAGAAAATGGCTATAAAGGGTATATTGGGTATACTAATATATTGTGTAATAGGTGTTAATTACTGTAACATTGGAGGTTTCCACCCATTTAGGTGAAATGGAAGTGAAAATCCGTTTTATGCAAATTACAAACTCGTTTATTAGATGCATATTTTCACCCATGTAGGTGAAATGGAAATAAAAATCCGTTGAATGTATATAATCTAGAGAATTCGTTTATTAGATGGATATTTTTATTGAGGCAGATAAAAGTAAACTTAAAAATCAAATTATTCCATACTCAGCTCGCTGGTTCGGCTCGATTCGAACCTTCCATTCCATGCATTCTAGAATTATTTTCCTTAAACTTTCAAATCTTCTGCCCTACAGAAACGATCAAGTGTCATTGCGATATCTGCAAGGAGACGAATCACATATGCGAAACGGATGGATATTGTTTCACCTCCGTGGAAAAGGACACTGATGGCAAAATAATCTTCAGTTTTCGGTAAGTTTTTAGCTGCCATTTTCATAGGCAAAGATCCAAACAACAAACGACAACAACAGAAGAAAAACTGTTCATTTTGTGCCTGTTGTCTGTGTCTGTTGCAAATCCGTTGCGTAGCTGCCTCAACATGTCGCAGAGCTTCCCGCCGGGCCGTTTCATTTGGTGCAACGATGGCCGCCAAGGTGGCCCCACGGCACGTCCAGCCGCACGCCGGGGCGGTCATGCCTGTTGCAATGATCGTGACTTTTGCAATCGCCAACTGCGTCCCGTTATCAAGTACTATGCGCTGTCCACGGCCACGCCAGGTGGTGGTCAGGAGTCGGTGTCGCTGGCGCCGTCGGTTATCTACGAAGGTGCGCTATGCTGTGCACGTGTTTAACGCCTACTCCCCCCCCCCCCTAGCCCCCAGTTCCATATCCTCAATTGCTCTTCTAACTGCAAAGAATATTAAACAAAAAAAAAACGCACGTCGTTCCAGTTGCTTTGTTCCAATTTGTTTGTTCTTTTGAACTAGTTCGTTCTCTTCTATATGCTCGTGTTGAGTTCGACTTGAAAGTGAACATAACCCAAAAACAACATCAAATGCAGCGCACACTACTAAAAACCAGCAACAGCAGCAACAACAACTACAACAACTACAACAACAACAACAGCAGCCAGCTTAGCTCCTGGCAACTAGAGTTATTTTTTTTTACTGTTTTTTTTCTTGCTTTTGTTTTGATTGCTACTAACCAGACTGAGTTCTAATTAGCAACTGGCCCAAAGACAGCGGCGACAACAACAACAACAAGAGTAACAAAGCAGAAAAAAAGTATTACTAATTCGTTTTCTTTCTCTTTCTCTGTTTCTCTTACTGTCTTTCACCTGACCGCTCGTGTACACCCGACGAAAAAAATCAAATCGATTAACTAAAAAATACCAAAACAAAAAAAAATATATATACGCCACGCGCGCGCGCGCTCTGCTCAACGCGCTGCATTGTCTCTCTGTTTCCCCACGTTCTATTCGCTTGCTCGCCTTGCCACAATGCTCTTTGCCTCTCTCTCTCTCTGACTCTATCTCTTTAATACAAAACGCAACATACTTAACAAATAACTGTATATTGGTCTACCATTGCTGTACAGTTGCCTCGATAAGCGTTACGAGCTGTATCGTGAGCCGCTGGAATGCCTCTCGAGTCGCAGTAAACAAGATACGTTCAAAATTAGCTGTTGTAATAAGGATTTCTGCAATAAAGAAGAGCTTATGAAAAGGATATTTGAAACAGGTACAGCAAACAGTTAAACAACAACTTTAAACAAAACAAAATATAAATAACAAATACAGACAAAAAAAAAACAACTACAGGAAACCAAACAATAAACTACTTATTTTCTCTCTCTCTCTCTCTTTATTAAAAGCTTTTTGGTTTGCACTTCTTTTGTACTCTGCGCTAATTATGCACTGCAACAACAACAACAACAAAAAAATAAACACACTCTCTTTTTTTTGTATGCACTACAATAATAATAGTAATTATAATATTAATAATTTTATTTCGATTTGCACAAGAATTTAGTAGGCGCCTTATAATTGACCATAAATTCGTATTTATTTCGGTATATTTACTTTTCTTTTTTTTTTTTTTTTTTTTGATTTAGTAAATATTTAACTTTTCTATTTGCACTTTGTTCGCTTTTTGCTCGTCCTCTGTTTAGTAGATTCTTCTTCATTGTTTTTTTTTTTTTTTTTTTTGCACGTTACTTGCCTCGGCTGTTGCTCTGCTCTATCTATTTATTGTATCTCTTTGACTATCTTAACGGCACACCAACAACAACTACACCTACACCTATCTACATAAAGAAAAAACAAAATTATAATAAAAATGTAGTTTTTCAATCAACTTTTGCATGCCAAATAATTTTGTATACTTTTCGATTGTAGACGCTTTTTAGAAGAAGAAAAAAAAAACTTCATTGTGCAGATATTGTAGTAAGTAGCTATTATTATCGTATAAGGTGTGGCATATGCATACTTTTTGCAGTAGGTGTGAGATCAGTCAGTTTTTGATTATTGTACATTTTTCAGTGTTAGTAAATATTTACTGTACAAATCGCGCTGCAGACGGAACTGGCTTGAAAATTCCATAAATACATCGATTTTTTATGATTGCGTTTTTCCTTTAACTCTTCGTTGTAAGTCTCTTTGGCCAAATGTTGGGTATACTTTTCTTCTAGATTCTCTCATCTGGTACTTTGATTGTGGTTTCTTACACTTTTCCAGATTTGTAGTATTTTTGTGTATAACTGATCTCGAGAACGTTACGACTGCTTTAACAGTAGCCCTTTTAAAAAGCTAAATACGAACCCGCTTTGAAGAAAACGCCCTCTTCGAACCACGCCTCAGCTGCACGGGCGCTGAGCTGCAACTAAAGCTACCTTCCTTATCCTCAAACACGCTTCTCAAACTCACCTCGTTCCACTTGGTTCGTTCTTTTGAGCTAGCTCGTTCTCTTCTACATCTCGTGTTGAATTCGACGTAAAAGTGAACATACCCAAAAGAAAAATGTATAATAAATAAATAAATAAATGCAGCGCGCAGCAACAGCAGCAACAACAACTACAACAACAGCCAGCTAAGCTCCTGGCAACTAGAAGTATTTTTTACAGTTTTTTTTCTTCTCTTCATTCTTTTGTTTTGATTGCTACTAACCAGACTGAGTTCTAATTAGCAACTGGCCCAACAAGCAACAACAAAAGTATTACTTATACGTTTACTCTCTCTCTCTCGCTCTCTGTTTCTCTTATTGTCGCTCGTGTACACTGGAAGATTTAATTCGACTTATTTAAAATACCAAAAAAAAAAAACCCACGCGCTTGCTCCGCTCTCTGTGTTGCGTTGTCCTCTCTCTGTTTCACCTCACTCCTGACGATCGCGTGCCATGCCGTTGCTCTCTGTTCTCCACTCTTATTCGCCCTTTAATTTTAAACACAACATACCTAGCAAATAACTGTATATTGGTTTACCATTGCTGTGCAGTTGCCAAGATAACCGTTACGAGTGGTACCGCAAACCGCTCGAATGCCTCACGAGTCTCGTTAAACAAGATACTTTTCGAATTAGCTGTTGTGATAAGGATTTCTGCAATAAAGATGTGCTCATGAAGAGGATATTTGAAACAGGTACATCAAACAGACACAAACACTTTAAAATATAAGTAACAAGTAAATAAATAAAAATCGATAGAAAGCAAAACAACAAACTATTTATTTTCTCTGTCTTTATAAAAAGCTTTTTGGTTTGCACTTCTGTTGCTCTCTGTGCTAATTAAGCACCTTCTTTTTATGCACTACATTAGTAAAAATAATAATATTATTAATTTAATTTTGTAAAGCAAAAGGACCTTTTATTCGAAAACAAATTCTTATTTATTTAGTTTTTTTTTCGTTTGAAGTAAATACTTAAGTTTTCTTTTTCGTCCTCTTCCGATAAGTCGATTTTTTTTAGTTGCCTCTGCTCTATCCCTCTGACTTTTTTTAACAACTACACTTAACCTATTCAAATTTTGCATGCCCAATAATTTTGTACACTATTCGATAGTAGATACTTATAAGAAAAAAAAAGATATTTTTGTATAAGGTGTGTCATATATTTTGCAATGGATATGCAGTAGGTGTATTCATGAGTCAGTTGTAGATTTTTGTAAATTTTTCAGTGTTGGTAAACATTTATACTACGCAGTTGAGCTACTGGTGAAACTGGTTCCATGCATTTTCTGTTCGTTGTCATTTTCTTCGGTGAAATTCGGTTTTTTGTAGAGATTCTCTCACCTGGTGCTTTGATTGTGCTGTCTTGTACTTTTCAGAGGTCTCGTATTTTTGTATATAACCGAATTTGGGGTATTTTTGACTGCTTCAAACATGAAACCCGCTGCTGCTGTCGCAAAACCCCTTTGAATAAAACCACCCCCCCTTAGACCACGCCTCTGCTGCACGCTCGCTGCGCTACAGCTGAAAGCTGATGCAATATTTAGTTCTTAAGTAGAAAACAACAACAACAACAAACAACAACTGCAATTGCAACTATAACAACAGCTGCTTATCAACTGCACACGCATCAACAACAACAACAACAACAACCAATGCAACAGCAACAACAACAACCTTAAACAACAACTACCCCACTTTTTTGCTATTTGTGAAAACCTATTTACAAAATAAACAATTTTTGCCTAACTTAGTAGTAACTAAAATTTTAGCATTTAGTATTAAACTCTACTACTCGAAAAAAAAAAGAAAGAAAAAACAACAAACAAAAAAACTACTCTGTATATGTATGTATGTATGTAGATGCCTGCCCCTTGCAAACCACTTACCACCCGAAGATCCCGCCTGGTGTCATGATAATACACCCATCTCCTCCACAAAATGTTGTCAAGATGATTTTTGCAATACGCGTGAAAATTACAATGGTGTTATACCAGGTGAGAGTTGCTTAAACCCACACCCCCCCCCCCCCCCCACCACCACCACCAAAACCCACCGAACCATCCCACCAAATACCATACCCATTCATCATACATCATACATACAGCACACCACATCATCAGCGGGCACATTTTTCAACCACACTCGCAACACGCGTCGTGTCCACCTTTTCGCCCCTTTTGTCGTTTTGCCATTAGAGCCACGCCCATGTCATTGCACCGCCACATTTGCGTTTTTTTTTAGACAGACATTTTTGTAGCACACGCAGAAAAACACAAAAACACACATACATACACACACACACCTGTCACACTGTCGCTAGCCCCTTTCCACGCAGCCTCTGCTCCACATTTACATGCGTCTTGGAAAAAAAAAACGTTTCGGTTTGTTGGGATTTCTCCTTCCTTTTCCATTTCACACACACACACACACACACATACACATACACGCGCGCACACTGGATGCACCATTTTATTGTTGTTGTTGCGTATTTCACCTTGTCTCGCGTGTTGTTTTGCGGCCTCGTCGTTACTCCCTCTCCATAAGCTAACCCACCCACTTGTCGCTTGCTGTGTTTTCGAGTTGTCTGCTGACCTTTCGCATCATTCATATTGACTTGTTAAAAGCACGACGCATACAAAAGCCAAACAACTGTAAAAAAAGGAAGTATGCAAAAAAAAAGGAGAATTAAAAGCAACAACAACAACAACTGTCTCAAGGGGGCCACCAGCCAGTAACAACAACAACATGAACCGCATCGAGCATAAAGAGTCAGAAGAAGCAGCAGCAGACGTCGCTTTTTGTTGCTGTCGCTCTCCCGCTCTCCCGCTCACTCGCCGCCTGCTTGTCTGCGTTAATTCTGTCTGCGTCCTCCGTTTCTGTTTCTGTTTGCTGTTTATGCAAGTCGCTGCTGCATTCATATTCATTCATGTGCTGCGGCTGCATTGCAATGTTAGCGTCGCTGTCGACGTCGTTCTGCCTAACGGCATCATTCCATTCATTTATGGCCGCATTTTTGTGTATGTTTGCTGTCTGCAGCCTATTTTTTTTCCCCACTGCGCTCATCTAAATATTATTGTTAGTTGTGTTTGCTCATTTCTATGTATGTATGTGTATGTGTGTGTGTGTGTGTGTGTGTGGGTTCGTCTAAATATGTGCGTGCTTGTTTACAGTTTATTGCTCTGTAGCTTTTAAGTTTGCGCCATCAAGTATGCAAAGGTTTGTAAATAAGTAACTACCAAAAGTCATAAACAGGTTAGTGCCAATTACAACTACTTACACATATACAGGCACACATACAGAAACTAACAACCAACGGTTAATTGTTTTAAATGCACCTTGGGTTTATTATTTATTTGAATTATTTGTTTTGTTATTGGTTTTTGTTTTAAATCTAATCAATGGCTTGTTCTTATGCATGTTGTCTTCTCACTTATTCACTAACTTTCTGGCATTTAATTTTCCATTAATTCTCACGCTCAGCTTTTTTGCAGCTTTCCGTTTGAAGTTGTATTGAGAATTAATAAGCATTATATTCCAATTAGATTTTATGCCCAATAAGACACTGACTAGCTGGCAACTGGTGGTCATCATTGTGGGCGTCACGGTGATTATCTGCTTTTCCGGCACCATGGCCTGGTATTATTGTCAGCGTCGCAAGCGCTTGGCCAATGGACGACCATTCGCCAAGGAGGACTCTGTCTACGATCCCATACTGAATGGCAACACTACGCTACATGATATTATTGAGATGACCACCTCGGGCTCAGGATCGGGTGAGTGATTTAGCCACTGCCTTTGTCAGGATCGAGTCCGAATACCTGAAAATCATTATGTGGCTTGGCAACATGCTACTCAAACCATCTCTAATCCTCTCCCCTCTCGCTGTCATCTTTCCAGCTGGTCTGCCGCTACTAGTGCAGCGCTCCATTGCACGCCAGGTGCAGCTGTGCCATGTCATTGGCAAGGGACGTTTCGGTGAGGTATGGCGCGGTCGCTGGCGTGGCGAGAATGTCGCCGTCAAGATCTTCTCCAGTCGCGAGGAGTGCTCCTGGTTCCGCGAGGCGGAGATTTATCAAACAGTCATGTTGCGTCACGAGAATATATTGGGTTTCATTGCCGCGGACAACAAGGGTGAGTGGCTGCACCTTAAAACTAATTCTTAACTCATGCTAATCCTATGCTTCGCTCTGTTCACAGACAACGGCACCTGGACACAGCTTTGGCTGGTCACGGACTACCATGAGAATGGCTCGCTGTTTGACTATTTGACCACACACTGTGTGGACACCAATGTCATGCTGAATATGGCGCTGAGCATTGCCACGGGACTGGCGCATCTGCATATGGACATTGTGGGCACGCGGGGCAAGCCCGCCATAGCGCATCGTGATCTCAAGTCAAAGAACATACTGGTCAAGTCGAATTTGAGCTGTGCCATTGGTGATCTGGGCCTGGCGGTGAGGCATGTGGAGAAGGACGACTCAGTGGATATACCATCCACGCATCGCGTCGGCACCAAGCGCTATATGGCGCCCGAGGTGCTGGACGAGAGCATGAATGCCCAGCACTTTGACTCGTACAAGCGTGCGGATGTCTACGCCTTCGGCTTGATACTCTGGGAGATAGCGCGTCGCTGCAACATGGGCATGATCTATGAGGAATATCAATTACCCTACTGGGATGCCGTGCAGCCCGATCCAAGCATCGAGGAGATGAAGAAGGTCAGCCCAGAAACTATATAACCATATATAAATTTATTATTAAACGATTTGCCTTGTGCCTTGCAGGTGGTTTGCATTGAGAAGAGCCGGCCGAATATACCCAATCGCTGGCACGGCTCCGATGTGCTGCACAACATGGCCAAGGTCATGAAGGAGTGCTGGTATCCCAATCCTGTGGCGCGACTCACTGCGCTGCGCATCAAAAAGACGCTAGCCAGCATACGTGTTGAGGACAAGGTCAAGAACTGATTGTGGCTCTAGTGCGTAGACCAAGAGTGGAATGCGTTTTATTTTCCGTTTTATTGTTTTCGTGTTTTATCGAAAAAAGCGTTGTGTGCATTGCAACTCGTGTAACCTGTAACCTGGCCCCGTGTTACCTTCAAGCGACAAAACTAAACTAACTAACTAACTACCCGAAACTAACAAATACATTGTAAATACTTAGGTCTAACACATACCAAACGTCCCCCTCGCCCCGCTCCCAGATTCATAAATGCCAACAAACACATGCTTTGCATATGTATATGAACTGTGCTCGTTTTAATATTATCGTTTGCATTTCGCATTGACTTTATACTTTTGTACATATATACACACACACATATATCTATATATATATATATTTCGTTGACATTTTCTGCTGAGATTCGCTTAATTTTCCCGATCGTGAAGGCAGCGGCGCGCCACAAAACCGCCGCACTGCCAAATGTGCTAAAAGAAAAACACAATTAGGGCCTAAATATGTATACACCTAATAGAAAGCATGCATATATTTTTTATAGCCACTGTTCACAAAAATATATATACAAAGAAAAAAACACAAAAAATACATACAGTTAAAAGACTTTGCCAAGACTGAGCAGCAGTGAGAACAGCAAAAACACAAAAAAAAAAATACAAAAAAATAAATAAAAAATCCCCCAGAGAAATCAATCGCAAGTTACAAATTACGAAATTCCAGCTGGCAGGCAACTTTTGTGCTGCATTAAATATCCGTATTGTAATCGTATATAGAAATCTTAGCAATATACACACACACATCTAGAAATACGAAAGCAATTTTTTAGCCGTTTATCGTTGACAAAAATTTAAACAAATACAACTCAGGAACAACAAAAATAAGAAAAAAATTGATAAAAGCAGCATAAACATATGAAAGTAAATAACAAAAGAAAAGGAAATTCTATGGCGCGCCGCCTGCTGCATGCCACGCCCACACCCATGCCTACCTAAAGCTGTTGCCGCTGTGTGTGTGTGTGCGCCTCCTAAGCTTATTATACATACACACATCTTATATATATATATATATAAACATATGCATAAATCGCTTTAAGTTCTTCTATACGTAGGTTTCTCCAACTTTCATGCATCCAAACAATTTGTTCCCCATTTTCGCATTATATGATTTTTGATTTTCTTTTTAGTTCTGTTATAACCAAAGCTTGTTCTTCCTATTTTTACTGTAGTCATAAAACAATTGAGTTGAGCAAAAGAATAGATATATATAAAAACGATTAATATATATATATAAATATATTTATATTTATGTAAATGTATATTTGCTTGCATTGTAAGAAACTTGATGTTTCATGAACAAAACATATTCATAAACATAAAAGAGCATAAAGCTGATAATTAGAAACTTTAAGTCATTTTGCAACACTGTAAACCTATATTAATTGTGTTGTCTGTCGTGTCATGAATCATTTTCAAAGTTGCAACTAAATGTTTTACATGTCTGCACCACACACACACACAAACACACCTTTACACACACATTCACAACAAGCCAGAAATAGCCAAGCAAATGTAACAAACCCAAACACACACACAAAAACCTGCAATAGTAGTTTCTATAGAACATCAAATGTTTCCCCAACAGAACACACAAACGCCAAGAGATTAAAGTACACTAAAAATTATGAAAGAGAAGAGAAAAAACATTAATTTAACATATACATCAAGCTACAACTAAGCATCATATATATTATAATTATTATGTATAACAATTCGATTTGATATGCGTATAACGAAAAAGAAAACAAAAATATATATAAAAATATATATAAACCTAAACTAGATTGTTATAACTTTCGGCCTGCGAAATTTGATTTCCTACTAATTTAGGCAACTGAAAAGAATTATGAAATACGTTTACATTAAGTTCAACTAATTTCCTGTAATTTGTAATTTTGCTGAATTCAAAACCCGTTTCAGTAAAAAACAAAAGCAAGTAAAATGTAATTTAAGTTTTTACAAAAGAATATTCCTGTAATTGTAAAATGTGTAAATAATAACTGAAAGTGAAAACAATTTGTAATATTGTTAAAATGATAAATGTTTAACTATGCCAGAACTCACCCCACTCCCCCCCTAATCCAGATAGGCTCTCCCACCCCCACCCCCACCCCCCACAATATCGCTCGATAGAGGCAAAACTTGAACAGTACTGAGTTTAATATTGAAACAAACCGAAGAAAAACTTTAAAAGACTTGAACAACAAATGCGCAACAGAAAATTTTTTAAATAATCTAAATCATTTTTCCTATTTGCCAGCTAAGAAAACATTTTTTATTTTTGAGAAAATTGAAAACATGTTTAAACTCTGATTTAAGTGTTAGGCTCAAGCGTAAAAGGTTTTTTAGTTTTTGTTTTTCGACAGCAAATGTGTTGAGAGAAAGTAGAGAGAAAGTCGAGAGTTGGAGAGAAATTGACCAGGATGTGAATTGGAATTTGGATATGTGTATGTGAAGCATTTACGGTGTACTGTTAAAAACAAGAAACAAAACAAAACAAAAAGATAAAAAACAAAACAAAAAGCGTTGAAAGTGTAAACAGAGTCTAACTTTTAGCTTTAAGCTGCGTTTTTACTGGCACTTTAAATAAAACAACAAAAAAAACCCAAAAAAAAACAAACAATAAGGTTCAACTGTGCAAACAGTGGCACAACTGTTGAGCTCAACAGTTGGTTGACTTTCATTTGTGGGCTTTTCCTTTTGGGCTTCTCTGGCTCGCTTTGCAAAGGTCAAGAGTTCAAAGTCTTTTATTTATTCCTTTTGCCATCGGGCCCGAAATATGTTTTAATTAAAATTTTAATAGCCAATGCTCAGCAAAGTGTTTTGTCCTTGTGGGATTTCAGCTTGGCAAACGCAAAAATGTTCTCATTTCCTTTTTTTATTTTTGATCGATTTTTACAGGTTCGCCGCGAGGTCATTTGCATTTACACATTAATCTCAATTGCCCAAAATTGAAGGTCCCAGCCACAGGCACACATATGACGTTGCACAGGTGAGGGCTATAATTTCATATATATTATATTGTACTATAAGACTTGCTGTGGGATAATTGTGGGCCGCCAGGCAAGCTTTGTAAGCGAAATTGCAGAGAGTTTTTGTTGTCTTTTTGCATACTCTTGCAGAGGGTATTTTCAATTTGTCATGAAGTGGCAGAGAAGGCATAGAAAATGACATCGTCGAACCCATAAAGTATATATGTTCTTGATCAGCATGAATAGACGCGTTGATCTCGTTCGTCCGTCCGTTCGTCCTTCCATCTGACTATCCGGCCGTCCTTCCATTTGTCTGTCCGTCCTTCCATTTGTCTGTCCGTCCTTCCATTTGTCTGTCCGTCCTTCCATTTGTCTGTCCGTCCTTCCATTTGTCTGTCTGTCCTGCCGTTCGTCCTTCTGTCTGTCCGTCCTTCTATCTGTCCGTCCGTGTATCCGTCCGTCCGTGTATCCGTCCGTCCGTTTGTCTGTCCGTCCTTCTATCTATCCGTCCTTCTACCTGTCCGTCCTTCTAGCTGTCCGTCCGTCTATCCGTCTGTCCTTCCGTCTGCCCTTCAGTCTGTTTCTATGCGAACTAGTCTCGCAGTTTTAAGACTTTCGTCGTGAAACCTTTCCGTCTTTCTGTTGCAGCCAGTACAAATGTCGGAAACTGGCCGGATCGAACCACTATATCATATAGCTGCCATAGGCAGGATCGGTCAAAAAGTAGGTTCTGGTATGGAAAACTAATTTGTTAAACAAGATATCTCGACCAAACTCCGCACCTATAAATTTCTACATCTACATATATGCAAAATTATGTCAACATCGGATCACTTTATCATATAGCTGCCATAGAAATAATCGGTCGAACAGGAACATATGCAAAATAGACTGTATTCCAAGATATTTTCATCAAGCTCAGCATTTTAGAGCTTCACTTTACTCACATATCTGCAAAAGGGAAATGTCTGCAAGGGTATTTACTCTTCGGCGTGTCGAAGATTTGCTTATTTTCTCGTTTTTTTTTTTAATGCAAGCAAATGGGAATTTGATGGGAAGTATAATCCTAAAAGTAGGATGCCATTTAAAGTAAAGTACAAATAAAAATAACAATTTGATATTCAAAAGCTCTAAGATTTATAATAAGCCTTTTTTAAGGTGTTTGGACCTAAACTTTTTTGTTAGTAAACTATAGCGTGAAGCTAAAATACGGTCAGGACATTTTCTATATAAAGTTCAGTTGAAAATGAACCTCAATTTATTTTAAACTTAAATCCATTAACTTTACTTTAAAATGGCATTTGCAACAATCGCCAGGGACTTGAATCTCGAAGTTAACCTGTTTATCTGGCCCAGGAGGACAGCTCATCTTGTAATGCCCAGCTGTAATACAGGGAACAACTGTTCAGATTAAAAATTCCCTATATTAAATTAACTTCAATGCACTTTGAATAATAGAAAATATATTTAAAGATGCTTGGATTCGAATCTTTTTAGTATATTGCTTTTTTATATGGGTTAGACTCTTACAAAACAACTAAACTTTAAAATGGGCTTTGAAATGGCCCACTAAGCCAGCTCAACTTGCATTACCCAGCTGTAAAACAGGGAACAATTGTTATAAATAATAATTCCCTATATTTAATAAAATTCCAAGGCTCTTTGCTTTGGTGATTTGAACCGGGGCTTTGCACCTTGAAGTTAGCCTAAATTAACTGGCCCACTAGGATAGCACATCTTACCTGTAATACAGGGAACAATTGTTATAAATAATAATTCCCTATATTTAATAAAATTCCAAGGCTCTTTGTTTTGGGGATTTTAACCGGGGCTTTGACCCTCGACTTTTCTAGGGCAGCTCATTTTCTAATACCCTGCTGTAATACAGGGAACAATTGTTCAAAATCATAATTCCCTTTATTACATTTAATTTCCCCCCCCACACACACACAATTGAAATGCAAATTTTGCGACCCTTTGAAGCAAATGCAAAATAAATAATTAAAATTCATTGCTCGGTATTTTTTTTTTTTGGTTTTGTGGGCGTTGCGCCCTTTGCACTTTAAGCGTGCCTTACACTTGTTGTCTTTATTTGTTGACTTTAATTCTTCATTAACATTTTAGCATTTGTTTTTATAAAATACATTTACATATATATATTAAATATATATGTATATATATATGGGTACATATATTTTGTTAGACTTGACTTGATGCGAATGGGGAACGCAAAGTGCTTGAAAAGATACAGTTCACAATTCGGTTATGGTCTTTGGCTACATGGTTAATTAATTTATTAATTTCGATATTCATTTTTAATTAATTTTTAATTGAGTATATTTTTGTTGGATAACATTAAGAGTTTTGCGAATAAAATTGTTGTGTCTAATACTTGCTGTAATAACATTGAATGCCTCAGTCAGTATTTAATTTTTATTTTTTTTTTTCATAATTTCATATTTATTTTGTTGTCTGATTAATATAATTGTTTCTACGACAAAACACACTGAAAATCTCGTTTGATTATTATAATTGTGTTGAATATAATTTACTTTAATTAGTTCATTTTAGATATTTATATATATTTATATTTGTATATTCGTTTATGTAAACAACAAGAGTGATATGCATTTGTTGAACATTTGATATGTTAACGAATTTGAATTTCCTTATAATAATATAATATAATAATAATTTAATCGTTTGCCGTTGCCTTTAAGTTGTCTTCAGTAAAAGATTGTTGAATTCATTTTCTTGATGCTCCTTCAATTTTCCGCCTGCCGCTCAGTTGTGGCGCTGCTGAAAAACGCTGGCCATGTGCTAAATAGATAATAATTTATCTAGATGTTATCTTTGGGTCAATTGTATGCCACTTTTTTGGCCGCTTACCTCTTGGGTCACATCCACGCAGTCGAAGGCGTCGCGAAAGTAGCCGCAGCTTAGCTTCGACGAGCCGCGATGATGCAAACGCTGTCGCTGGCAACACATGCCGCTGCAAGAAGTATGAGCGTGTAAGTATACGGTGATCGACTTGGAAATACCCTATAATTTGCTTCGCTATACCAGCTCTTAGCAGTAAGATAAGCCTTTTCTTTACGCTCAATCGTAATGAGAAATCTAAGCTCAATAAGTTGACTTGCCGAATATATATACTATTTTATATGCATATATATATGTATATATATATACCATATATATATTATCAGTACGTCCAAAATGTATCTGGAATTCGGCTTGGGTTATCAGAAGAAAACTTGATTTAGGTGAGGTAGACGAGAGCCTACGCTCTCTCTGTCATCTTTGACTCTTATTAACTCTGTTAAAAGCAGACGGCTAGATTAACATTATGTTGACAGACGGTTTGACAGTTGGATAAGCTGAGATATTAACAGCTAAACTGACAGTAGATAGTCAGAAAGAATTACAAATTAAGGAAGAGCAAGTCTGACAGACAGATACGATAACAGACAGACAGTTTAACAGTCTGATAAATTGAGTGTCAGATATACACGCTGAAAAATTTATTTATATACAGTATCTAGGCTCTTAGCAGCCCAAACTGCCTTTCTGCCTTACTTAGCACAAACTACCAGCTAGACTAGGAGTTAAACTGACAATCAGTTTAACTGGCTGACTGTCAAAGTGATGGACGGGCGAACTGCATGATAAATATAGTTTCTAAGTTCTGAGTAACCTGCTTTCCCCAGTGTTTAGCTAGCGCAGACCTACAGAATGTCTTGTAGTTAAACTGACAGTCAGTTTAACAGTCTGTTTATAATAATTATCTGATCATAATCAAACTGACAGACATGCACTGAAAAATATAAACTTATAGTTTCTAACCTCTTTGCAGGCCGTTTAATTTATCGCTTAGTTAGGCTAAACTAATTGACAGACTAGTAGTTAAACTGACAGTCAATTTATGAACGGACTGGCGAATAAATATTGTATCTATGCTCTTAGCATCCCCCTCTCCTTTACCTTTACCTAGACTAGATAAACAGACAGACTGCTAGTTAAACTGACAGTCAGTTTAACAGGTTGATAGTCAGACTCATACTCTGAAGAATATATGCACATATATGTATAGTTTCTAGGCTCTTGCTAACCTGATTTTCTGTATCTTTAGCTAGGTAAATCTAACAGACAGACTAGTAGTTAAACTGTTAGTCAGTTTAACAGGTTGATAAACAGGCTGTCAGACATACACTCTGCAGCATAGTTAACCTGCATTAGTAACCTGCTCTTCCTTATCCCTTAGTTAAACTAGACTAACAGACAGACTGGTTGTTAAATTGACTGTCAGTTTAACTGGCTGCTAATCAGACAGCTATATTTACATATATTTTGGGCTGTTGTAGGTCGCTCTCCTTTGTACTTTAACCACTTTTTCGGCACTTACTTGATTACTTGACAGTCGCTGGTGCTGCTGCATTCGCTGCCCAGCGGCTGCTTGGGCCGCACATGCAGCACATCCGGCATTAGGGGCGCCTCCGCCTCGCAGCGCCAAATGCCCTCCTGGGTGGCCAGCATGCAGGCGCTGCCCGGCGCGCAGTCTGCGTGCCGTTGGCACAGATTCCGCTGATGGCCAAACACGTAAACGCATTTGCCCTCTGTCAAATTTTGTAATTAGATTGCGGAGACTTCAACCCCTGCTCCTTGACACTTACCGCCATATGTGTGAACGCAGACCCCAGTGGGACAGCAATCATCGTTTAGCAGGCAGGCGCGATTCGCGCAGGGCGTGTCCTCAATCAGGGGCTCCACAATCCCATAGACCTCGGCCTGTGGCTGACGCAGTTGCGCGGACAGCGGCGGCTGCGGCTGTGGCAATTAGAGATAACATTTTTGTGGCTTACAAAGTGTTTGTGTGTGTGTGTGTGTGTGTGTGTGTGTGTGTGTGTGTGTGTGTGTGTGTGTGTGCGTGTGGCACACGCTGCGTATGCGTGTTATTTGGTATGTTCTTATTGAGCCGCTGTCCATTCAAATTTCATGCCTCACTGCAGCCTGAGTTTTATTTAGCTGAGTTCTATTTGGGGCCTTCTACTCTGTGCGTCGCATTCTATTTTGAACTTTGCACTTTGGTGCGGCTGCCACATGGCTACGTTCATGCCACCTGACATGTAGGCAGCTGATATTAATTAACAGTCGCTGCAGCTGCACATGCCACGTGTGTGTGTCGCGGCCCACGCTGCGTATGAGCGATGAAAATTGAAAATATTGCAACACGTGCGCGAAAATAATCTCGCGATTTAACTTTTCAGCGGCTTATGAGTTCAATTTGTTTACCCTTTAAGAGGGTATTACAATTTTGTGTGAGGAGATAACTCCAATTCTATAAATTAAATTAAATAAATAAATTCTTAGATGAGCTTCAAAGGAAGCAGCGATTCTATTGTCCAGGTCTTGTTGTTCAGATATAAAAACCAATTAAGTGCCTCAATAAATATGAATTAATCTGTGCCAGATTGTTAAATTTAAGTTCACTTTAATTAAAGCTGCTGCGGCTGCGACTTTTAATTGCTTGTGCAAGCGGCCACACTCACCTGTTGTTTTTCCGGCTGACTTTGCTGCTGCTGCTGCGGCTGCGGCTGCTCCCGGTCCATGGCAAACAATTGGCCGTATTCGTTATTGTAGCCCGCATTGTTCAGATTGCCGGTAATCATATCAAATGTGCCAACGCCGCCCACATCGGGCGACGCGCTGCGATGCAACAAATTGCGCGAATTGCGTCCAAAGAGCGAACGCGACCAGGCGCCGGCTGGCGGCGACGAGGATGCGCTGGCGCCCAGCTGCACGGCCAGGCCGAGCAGCAGAAGTTGGGCCATGGCGGCCCACACCGGAATGCGTCTCATTTTGCGCTATGCTAGTACCACATCGCCAGCGGCTGCAACAGTTCGTTTCGTTTTCGCAAATTGGAGCTGCGAAAATGGCAACAAGAAAAAACGGGCAGAAAAAAAGAAAAACCAGAGCCAAATGTGGCCTTAATTAAAATCCAACAGCAAATGGCCAACAGGCACTGGCAAATTTGCCTTCAACAGGCATTTGCATCAAACGTCCGGACATAAAAAAGCCGGAGCCGAAGTCCTGTGCCTGGGCCTGGGCCTGTGCCTGGGTCCGTGTCAGAGCCTGTGCCCAATGGCAAAAACGAACCGCGGACTTATTATCCCGGCCCAGGTCATTAAAATGTTGTGTGCATGTGTGCATGTGTGTGTGTGTGTGTGTGTAAGGCTTGCTTTTAGTGTTATTACCGGCACTGACTTAATTTATGCGTCCCATACTCATTTAGCACTTTTTATTGCCACGGATGTCAGTTATACATCTCATATATATATATACCATATAATTATACCACATATATATATATATATACATATATGAAGGTATGTGCTGCATAAATGTTTGCTCTCTATTTATTAGAGTTCCGCTTAACAGTTTATTTATAGAAAAAATAATAAATCAAGTAACTGGAAAGGGAAAGGGAAAGAGGAAAGGGATATAAACATATATATATGCTTGGATTGTATTCAGTTAATGATGCTTATCGAGAATAAAAGACTGAGCATAACTGGGCTGAGGTCCATCGGCAAACAATGTATATATATATCGATGTATATATATTGATAAAAGGTATTTTTTTTTGTATTTTGAATTTTTAAATATTTAAAGATTAAGTCGTTTCGCTTAAGAAGTGAGAAATAACTTTGTCTATATTATCTTACTGTGTTTTTTGAGCGGTAATTTATGAATATCTAGGCATGTATGCATGCATGCATGTATACATGAATTAATGCATGCATGTAGACATGTATGCATGCACGAATGTGGGCATGTATGCATGCATGCATGTAGCATGTGCATGTAGACATGTATGAATGCATGCATGTATACATGTATTTATGCATGCATGTAGATTTGCACATACATACATGTACATATGTATGCATGCAAATATACACGTATGCATGTATGTGTTTTTGTGTTTATATATATATATATATACACGCGCATGTGTATATATGTATGTATGTATTTTTTAATGAGCATGTGTGCATTTCCTTATGCAAGTAAGCATGTATCTATGTATGCATATATACATGTATTTATTTGTGCATGTATGTATATACATATACACGTATACATGCCTGTGCTTACGTGTGTATCTATGAATATTTGTGTATATGTATATAGGTATGTCTGTATGCAGGCATGCATGTAGACCTGTATTTATGGATGCATGCATACATGTATATATGTATGCATGAAAATATATTCGCATGCATGCATGTGCTTGTGTGTATATATGTATGTATGTATGTATGAATAAAATAAAAAGGTATGCTTGTATGCGTATGTGTGTAATTATTTATATGTATTAGTATGTACATATGTAATCACGCAGGAATGTCTGTATTTAAAGGAGTTTTTCTTTAAAAAATACCTTAAGATCCATGTAAGCAATTATTAATGTTGTTAAAATTCAGTCTTAACTCTCTAAACACACTCACACACGCACTTATACACACATATATGTAAATATATAAAATATTTAGCCAAATTGGCAGCCGTCAAAAGTGTTGCATACCACTTGGGGCACATGTGTTTCTAGTTGCATGCAACGTTTAAATATTTTAGCCAAACAAACTTTTTCCAGCTATTCATTCATAAATGATGCATCCAAATATACCCTAGATTCTAAAAGCTGCGTGCACTTGACTGCCCCCCTTCCCTTTCAACCGTGTCTCCTTTGAACATTTACTGTCAGTCGGCGGAAAAGGCTGTGGGTGTAACCAGCAGGACTTACTTGTTTTAAATATAGATACCAGGCGAGCTCGTTATAAGCTGTCCCACGCAATGTCAAATACATTGCACGGCCCGTACCCACACATGTTGACCCGGGATACGCCTTCAATCAATTTCATTAATGGAGCCCGGCCAGGACCCAGTTTAGAACATGGGTTAAAAAGCAAACCTTTTCGCATGGCGCTAATTACATTTCTTTTTCCCTGCCAGTTATTTCTCGCAACATTTTCAACAGCGCTAAAAGTTGTAAAAGTTTTGAGTGAAAACTTTTCGCCAGCTGCAAATTTTCAATTGTAATCGAGCTAGAAAGCGAGAGAAACACGGAGAGAGAAAGGGAGAGGGAGAGTGAGGGAAAAAGTTCTGCGTAACAGCAGACTCATCAAAATAATTTCTAGACCTGTGCCTAATTAAATCTGCACTAATTATATTTCAACATCAAAGTCAAACACAAAGTCTGGCAATTACGCGTTTTAATTGACTGTCCCCTGGCTAAAAATATGAACTGTTGCCAACTAAATGTTAACGGTTGATTAAACTTGACAAGTGGCATAAATTTAGTTGCAATTGATAGCTGCCTAAAGCCAGGAATAATTAAGTTATCGTTGGGCTTAAGTTATCTACATATTTGCTTAAGGGCAGCAGATGAAATTCCTTGCTATACCAAGGTCAAAACCAAGGCCCCAAATAAGGCTGGAAAGATGTACTATATAGACTATCTACTTTTATGGTCTGTATAGTACATGTTGTCTATATAGAGAATTTAGTCTGTCAGTATATAAAGTCTATATAGTCTGTCAGGATATGTATTAAACAGACTATAGCATATATATATGTACTATAAAGTATATCTGGTCTGTCGGTATATATAGTCGGTCTGGTCTGTCAGCATTTATAGCCTACCTAGACTGTCAGTTTATATAGTCTATCTGGTCTGTCAGTATACAATCTATATAGTCTGCCTGTATATAAAGACTATAAAGTCGATCAGTATCTATAATCTATCTAGTCTGTTAGTATATACTAACTATATAGTCTATCTATCCTGTCAGTATATATTATTTATCTGGTCTGTCAGTATTATATTCCATCTACTCTGCGAGTTAATATAGTCTATCTAGTCTACCAGTTTATAAATAAACTATATAGTCTGTCAGTATATATGGTATATCAAGTATATACACTCTATCTTCAATTCGTATATATAGTCTATATAATCTGTCAGAATGTATATATACTTTGTAGTCTATCTAGTTTGTCAGTATATACAGTCCATGTAGTATATATAGTATCTAGTTTGTCAATATGTATATGTATATATACAACATTATATATGTATATGGTATATATCCTGTTTGGTCTGAGAGTATATATAGTCCATCTAGTCTGCTAGTATATATAGTTTATCTGGCCTGTTTGCTAGTATATATAGCTCACCTAATCTTTCGGCATATTTAGTCTATATAGAGTTCCTAGTATATATCTAGTCTATAAAGTCTATCTGGCTTATAAAGTCCACAAAGTTTTTAACTTCTATTAAGTCTATATAGTTAGTCTATTTTAAATAGTATATTTAGTCCATCTATTTATTTTTCATATAATTTAAATAATTATTTTTATATACAGTATATATTTATATATAGTATAAATATTGATCTTTAAGTAAAAACCTGTGAAGAGAAGCACAACCAGCTACAGATATGGAAAATGAAAACTTTTTAACGTACAAAAAAATTAAAAATAAATATTATAAAAGCATTTAAGCTGAATTTAACCAGCAACTAGAAATGGAACATGGCCAACGATAGCTGCTATAGAATATGCTGGAAAACACGAGTTACGAAACATTGGCGCACTTATATTTCCTGGTAATCGTTGGGACAATGCGTCAATACACAATGCCTCGCCCATGCATAAATACAATTCCATGAATTTGCTTCACACTGTGTGGAACATAATCTCTGTGCATAACAGTGTGTGGGAGTTACAGAAAACAGGTTGCAAATCAGAAAAAAATTGAGGGGTTGTTGGTTATTCAAGCTGAGTTATGCGATGTTGATGGGGCGCAACCCAAGTTCCCCGTCCAGTAGCCCAAAGCAGGCTAGGGTCTGGTCGCCAGCACATAAACTTAACCCCATTCCACTTTTAACCTAGTTAGGAAAATAAATGACATTTTGTAGGTTAGTTTTAACTATTTTCCTAAACCACATTCTAAAATATTCCACGCTATCAAAAATCTATTAGCCAACTGTTCGATTGGTCTAAGTTAAAGTTATGTTTAGCATTAAATGACTTCTAAATATTAAAAAGTAAAGTTTACTACAATTTAAACTATTTGAAAACTCAACTTCTTGTCAAATATAACTTCGCATTTGAACTTCGAGTTTAAGCTTGCAATGAAAGCAAGTGTCAGAGCTATGATGACATTCAACAGCAAGTTGCTCAAACTTGTTAAGTTTTGTTGCATTTCAATAACTTGTAGTTAAGTTCCATTTTGTTGCGAAACTTTTAACAGCCAGTTGACAGCAGCATATTTTATTTAACGAGAGGCAGGGACAGGAACTGTCAAAGCACAGTTAAGCGGACAATTTGATGAGTTACTTAAGGCCCAAAAATAAACGGTAAATGGTCATTAGGTGGTTTTTTGTTAGTTAAGGAATGTTGGCTGTGCGTGTGTCTGTGAGAGTGGGCGTGCGTGTGTGTGGGCGTGCGTGTGGGCGTGTCGCACTCATGCCGACAACTTGATTATTGTTGACCACAAATAAGTTTTGACAGTTGCCCAAGTTAATTATGTCAGCGCATTAATTAAAACACACACTACACACACACACACACACACTTCACACACGGACACACCTGTTTCTGATTAGTTAATGCGACAAGCGGCTAACTTGTGCTGCCTATTGCAGCAAGTGGCAGCAACGCGTAACTTGATGCCACAATTTCACTTACATGACTTTAAGGCACAATTGCGACTGCAAACACAACACACTCACACGCACACACGCACACTAACACACACACACATACACTAGTTATTTGCTTGGAGCTTGGAGCTGCTGCGTACCTGCTGCTTGTGTGTCCTTTCAGCGACTGGCGGCCAACACCTGTCGGCTGTCGGCAGCTGCCTGCTGCCTGCCACAAGGCGCAAGCTTTTCGACGCAAGCTTTTTGCCACCGTGCTCTGTGTGCATTTTTATGAATTAAAAGGCGAAAAGCTTTCGCGCTGCGCCCGTGTGTGTGTGTCTGTGTGTGTGTGTGTGTCTGTTGCCTTTGAGGCCTTTGGAATCAATGAAAGGCTACTATCTAATATGTAGCCAGCCTTTTTTTTTTGGCCTGGCCTCGTGACGTCACAGCAAGCAGTTGCCGTGCTTCCTCTTACTTTACGGCTGGCATGTCCTTTGGCAGCTCACGGCAATTTTGGCTGCAAATTTGATAAGCCTGCCAAATTGTCTGTCAGCTGACAAGAAATCGCCGCCGGCTGCCATTCGGACCGTGTCGAAATTGCTTTACAATTTACGCCAAATTTTGTATGCACTATGCAATCGCCTGCAGCTTTCCATTGCATTCAAATTCAACTGTGAAAATACAGAGCAATTTTCTCGCTTTGTATTTTCTTAGCTGTTTGTGGAAAGTTTGAGCTGAGCTCTGCGCAAGTTTAATTGCATTTTCTAATTTTAGCACAAATGTGTAAATAAAAGATGAAATCTTAGAAATACAACAGATTCTACATATATATGTTAATATTCTGCTTAAAGCTGCTTGAATATAAATATTCTCAGCCATTAAAATAACCATGGAGGATATTTTGAAGTAAGCAAAAGTATTTGATGCATAGTACTTAACTTTACAAGAAGTATAATCCGTAAAATGTTAAGGTTTGGAGATCATAAACTGAATTTTCGATATAACAAAAAGTTGTATACTTAAGCTACTTAAACTTATCAACTACATACATACTTAGTGCTAAAATTTTTAGATATTTCCACAGTTGTGGGTACATTTTTCAAAATCGCTGAAAAAGTATTCATTTAATTTTAATATAGGGCTTTGAGAATAAGTTTGAAGTAGATCGGGTGATCTTTTAACTTCACCCTTACTTTTACCCCCATTTATCATACAAAAGGGGTGTTTTTTATTAAAAAATTGTGAAACACTTCTCAAATTAATTTTCACAAAGATATTGGATCTCGGATGGTATATAAAAAAGTTTCATAAAAACGTTTATGGCAATTTTTCCATGCTTTCGATCAGTCAGTCAGTCAATCTGTCAGTAAGTCAGTCAATCAGTCAGTCAGTCAATCTGTCAGTAAGACTGTCAGTCATTCATTCAGTCATTCATTCAGTCAGTCAGGCAGTCAGTCATTCATTCAATCATATATAAGCGGATGGTAGATAAAAAAGTTTTATAAAAACCTTTTTCGTAATTTGTCCATGCTTTCGGTCAGTCAGTCAGTCAATTAGTTAATCTGTCAGTAAGTCTGTCAGTCATTCATTTAGTCAGTTGGTCATTCACTAAGTCATTCAGTCATTCATTCAGTCAGTCAGTCATTCAATCATATATAAGCGGATGGTAGATAAAAAGTTTCATACAAACGTTTTCCGTAATTTGTCCATGCTTTCGGTCAGTCAGTCAGTCAATTAGTTAATCTGTCAGTAAGTCTGTCAGTCATTCATTCAGCCAGTTAGTCATTCACTAAGTCAGCCAGTCACTCAGTCATTCAGTCATTCATTCAGTCAGTCAGTCATTCAATCATATATAAGCGGATGGTAGATAAAAAAGTTTTATGCAAATGTTTTTCGCAATTTTTCCATGCTATCGGTCAGTCAGTCAATCTGTCAGTAAGTCTGTCAGTCATTCATTCAGCCAGTCACTCAGTCATTCAATCATATATAAGTAGATAGACTTACATTCAAACACACAGCTGAGACACCCTGTATGCAGCTTTGACAAGCACTCAACCGCGCTAACAATTTTATTTTTATGTGTCTACCCTTTTATATACATATGTATATAAAAGAAAATAAAAAGTGGTCAACCTTGTTTATGTTAGCTAAGTCCGTTCGTGAAAGCAAGTTCAAAGTCAGATCGATTAAGGGAGAAGCTTTTGAGCATTTTGCTCGTGACGCATACGCAACGTGGCACATAAAATGCTCATCCGAATTGCCACTAAAAATAGTTTTGGCCTTCTTTTTTTTTTTCTGCTGCTGCTGCCGAGTTCTTCCATTGTAATGACAGCCGTGCGCCACAGAGAGTTGCCGGCAGTTTGGTATCCAGGTAGATTTAATGCACCAGCTCGCAGGTAATATGGAAAGCAGCCAGCTCTCTCTCTGTGCAACTGGAGTATTGTGGCAGGCTGCCAGTTGCCTGCCAATTGCAGTTGCCTCTGCAGCAAGCGGAAATTGCGGCAAGTAGCAGGAGCTGGCAGAAATTCTGTATCTGTATCCTGTTGCCCGCATCCTGGCTGCAGTTTGATTATCTGCTTTTGATTTTATAAGTTTTATGCGCCTGTGCTGGTCATTTCGCAAAATCCAATTTCGCTTGACATGATTCGATTCTCAGTGGCATAAAGCTGCTGTACTTTTCCTACTGCTTCTTCTTCATCTTCTTGTTATTAGTTTTTCTGTGTCGCTGCAAATGGAATTGCTGTGTTTTTTTATTCGTGTGCATTGGGGAATATTTTCAGGTAGCAACACGGAAAAATTGAGGGTAGAATTTAAATGTCGGAAGAAACATAAGAGCTTGTCATAAGAGAATACAAATATTGATACAATTTTTACTGCAAATTTTGACCGAGTTGGGGGGGGGTGGGAAATGTTGACCTAAGTCTATATAGTATATTTGAGAGTAACATTTTTCACATCAATTTTGACTAGGAAAAATGTTGCTAGATTTTGTTGACAAATTGATCTAGAGGTCAAACCATGAACAAAAAGCGAAAGCTTATGAAAATTGGTTGAGTTTTGACCGAGTTATGGGGGTGGGAAATTTTGACCCATGTCTATATGGGATATTTGAGGGTACCATTTTCACATGAATTTTGACTAAAAATAATGTTGCCAGAATTCGATGCCAAATTGATCTAGAGGTCCAACCATAACGAAAGAGCCAATTCTCGTGAAGATCTGATGAGATTTGGCCGAGTTATAGGGGTGGGCAATTTTGACCTATGTCTATACAGGGTATTTGAGAGTACTATTTGTACTTGAATTTCGACCAAAAATTCCGTTGCCATCTTTTGATGCAAAATTGATCTTAGGGCCGAACCATGCACAAAAAGGCAAACCTCGTACAAATCGGATGATATTTGACCAAGTTATGGGGGAGGGAAATGTTAACCTATGTCTATATAGGATTTTCGAGTGTACCATTTTCTATATAGGATATTTGAGGGTTCCATTTTCACATGAATTTTGACCAAGAATAATGTATAATGCCATATTAATCTTGTGGCCTTAATAATTCTCAACCTTGAAAAACTAATAACATTTTTTTGTACTTATTTACTCTCGTTTATTTCGTCGATATTTTTCTTGTGTTTGTGTTTTTCGCTTTGTTCGTTTTGTACGCTTAAGTTGCTAACAAATTGTATGTAGAAATACATAGATATAAGTTAAATATATCGTATAGATATATCGTATATCATAGGCATAAATTAATTAATTAATAAATTCAATTGAACTAAAAACATATGCTCTCTCGCTCGCGCATATTTGCATTTTAACATAACAACAATTTGCCTATGAAAATTAACAATTGATTATATTAAAATTATTATTTTCTCTTTTTTGTTTTTTTCGTATGTAAAAAAATAAAAAACGCATGCTACAGTTTTTAGTTGAATCAAAATAAATAGCAAAAAAAAACGGCAGCTCAATAGTTAATAAATAAATAAATAAATAAATAAGCTTAGCAATTAAAATAAATATGTCTTACAATTATTATTGCGCATGTGTGGGAGTGTGAGGGGGGGGAGGGGAACGTTGCTCGCTCTTAAATTGGTTAAATTTTTAAACATTTAACACACATTTCGAAAACGCCGCAGAGTAGGCAATGGGAAATGTTGCCAGTTTGAAAGCCACAGTGCTTGTCAAACTGTAAACGCGCGCCATTATCCAATTAAACTAATGCAGGGGGTGGAAAGGGAAGTGAAATGAGTTTTGTGAATGCGACGCTCGTCTTTTAAGTTAAATAAAAGTTTTTTGTTTGTTTTATCTCGCTTTGCCACGCTTAAATGTCCTCTAAACCTACTTTTCTATTTACAGTTGCGCTCTGGATGCCGTGGGCGTGGCGTCTATTTAACGCCCGTTATGCTGCGCAGCCAGGGCTTGTAGAATGTGGTGCGCATATAGACGCCCGGCAGATACGGCGCCGCACACTTGATGCCATGCGACACGGTGCCGGCCAGCTCGTAGCGTCCGTCGGGACGCTGCAGCACCAAGGGACCGCCGCTGTCGCCCTGCAGCAGGACAATGAAGGATATATACATGATTAAAAGTTTCTCTACTAATTGCATCATTATGTGCAGCTCACCTCGCACGAGTCCTTCTGCCCGTTGGCATAGCCCGCGCACAGAAACGAGCCGAGAATCTTCTTGTTATGCCCGGCGGTGTGGAACATCTCCTGGCAGACGCTGTTCTCAATTATTGGCACCTGTTGCGTGCGAAATAGCAATTAAAAGTTTTATTCGGTTAAATGTCAAGCCAAGCTGGCTGCCACCAGCTGACCACCAGCCACCAGACGCACCTGCACCTCCTGCAGCACCGAGGGCACACCGCCTCCATACTTGAGACGCCCCCAGCCGGTCACCGTTGCCATGCGACCGGTGAAGTCAGCCAGATCGTTGGGCATGCAAATTGGCACTGCAAGGAAGAAGTTGGACATTTTGTTAACTTAAATGTGAGTAGGAATTGCTTTAAATATGACCTGGCGGATTGTTAACTTAAATGTGAGTAGGAATTGCTTTAAATATGACCAACAGGAAGATATAACTAAGGATTCATATAGACATAAGACTAATTCTCGCTTTGGGGTTAAGAAAGCGATTGTTATTTATAAGTTACTTTTCTCGCGCAAAGGTTCATTTGGTGCATTTAGAGAATATATGTGCTCTATCGCCAAACTGTCGCTTGGGCGATAAAAAAGCGATAGCTAACGTTTATGCTTTTGACATAATTATAAAGCAACCAAACTCTAACGAGTTACCTATAAACATTTTGTGAATATATAAGATTTATCGCCAAAGTATCGCTTTGGTGATAAAATAGCGATAGCTAACGTTTTTGTCTTTGCACACAATTATTGAGTATTTCCACAAAGTCTGGCTTTACTATAGCTCACAAAACCTACTTACTTATATATAAACATTTATTGAATATATGTGTGATATCGCCTAAGTATCGCTTGGACGATAAAAAAGCGATAAGCTAACGTTTACACATTTGCACACAATTAAAATGTATTTTCACATAGTCTAGCTTTACTATAGCTTCCAAAATCCAAATACTTAGCTATATGCATTTAGGGAATATATGTGTGCTATCGCCAAAGTGTCGCCTGGGCGATAAAAAAGCGATAGCTAACGTTTTTGCTTTAACCCACAATTATAAAGTATTGCCAGTAATCGAACTTTGCTGTGGCACCCAACGACTTACCTATATGCGTATCGAACTGCACGGGACTGTCCATTTCCAGCAGCGCCAGATCGTTCTCGAACGTGGCCGGATCGTATTGGCGATGGACAATGACGCGTTTGACATTCTTGGTAATGGGACGTTTGCTCTCCAGATCACCGGAGATATCAAACTCACCCATGACAGCGACCAAGGAGGCCAAGAAACTAAAGAAATAATTGGAATATTAGCAAAAGGATTTGGTTAGGATTAGGGCTTAAGACTTACCCGGGCTGACAATGTGCGGCGGTGATGACATAGCGACTGGTGATTAGAACGCCGCCACATTTGTTCTTGGTGAAGAGGCCCAGCCAGGTGGACTCGCGGACCAGGACCTGCCAGGGAAAGGCGCCGAATGTGGAGCCTTTGCCGCCGACAATGCGACCCGACTTCACATGTGGACGTACGCCGCATTCTGTTGATGGGGAGTGAAATGTGAGGTTAGGAGTAGGGAGTGTTCACAAAGCGAGAGAGTGAGAGCGAATGAACGGGTGACCGAGCGAGCGAGCGTCCGGACTGACAGCCAAGTGAGGTACAGCGAAGAAAAAATATTGGGAATAGAACTGCGAATATTTGCGGGACGAGGCAAGAATTGGATGAACTAAAGGATTGGTTGTGGGATTAACTGGGACTGGGAACTAGAACTAGCTATGTGACTATGGGGGGAATAGCGATTGGGTTGATCAATGATGGCGTTGCCTATGGCCAGGCCGTTTCAGGCGGCGACGTGCTATAATTTTGGATGGATTAAAATGCAAGTGTCAGGTTAGGGACGATCGATTCGGATGGATTTTTGGGGGGGTTAGGGGTTATCGAACATAATGTGCATGAATCATATTAGGAACAAGAGAGAAAACAGAGAAGAGAGAGAGAGAGACAGTTTGTTGTTGGGGTCCATGCTACAAACACTCAACACTTACGTATTTTGCGTCCGTTTGCACCACCGTAAGAGCTCAGCGTCTCCTGTTCGATTTCGTTCTCATGCGGACTCGGATTGACATCCTCCTCATCCTCCTCGTCGACAATTTCATCGTTCTCGGGCCGCGCCGTGGTCTTGGCCGTGGTGCTAACGCGCTTCGTTGGCTTCTTCGAGCTGGGACGACGCGTTGTGCTGCTGCTGGCCGCCGAGGCGGGTCGACGCGTGGCCGGTTTGCGTGTGCTGGTGGCCGAGGTCTTCTTGTTGGGCGCCTTGGTGGAGACACGCGACACCGGCTTCTTTGTGGTCGACCTGGGCTTCGAGGTGGTCGCCACGCGCACCGGCTTACGTGTGGTCTTGCGGTTGACATTGCTGGTGCTGGCGACGCCCGATGAGTAGGTGGAGGCCGTATTGTTTGTCTCATCAATCATGTCGGCGAGCGCCTCAAAGTTGCCCTGCAATGAGGCCACCAGTTTGTGCACGAGCGTGTGCATCTTGTCCTTCAGCACAATATCCTCGACAAAAGCGGGCGTGGATAGCTCCAGATCGCTGGTCACGGCGCTCGAGGCGGCGGACATGTTCAGATTTGGATTGCGCACCGGCGGGAAGTTGACAAAATCATTCGGTGAGGTATAGGTTTCCTCGACAATCTGGCCAACCTTCTCGCCGGGCACCGAGAATGCCGGATATGTGGGCGTCGGACCATAATAGCCCGGAAAAGCGGGCTTATCATCGGATGGCACACCGTACAGCGCTTCTGTGGTCGATTGTGTGAAGGTCAAGTGCACCGGACTGCTGCCGACACCGCCGGCTGGCATGCCAAAATAGCCCGGATCCTCAAAATCGTTGGAGCTTACCCCAGACGGCGTATTGCCGGGACGTCGCGTCCCAATCGGTCCATAGACATTGGAATTTGTGTTGTCACCCAATTTCGTGTTATCCCAGTTGCTCGACGTGGCCACATTTATGTTCGACGGCTTCGGCGTGATCAGCACAGTCGGCTTCGAGGGCTTGGGCGTAATGTTGATCTGCACAAAGCCCGGTTTCTTGTGGCCACCATAGCTGCTGCTCGTCGGCTGCTGGATGTATATGGGCGTGGAGGCGGTCGCATAGAGGGGCGGCTGATAGTTGCCCGGCGTGGAGCCCAATATATTCTCAGCCGTGCTCTGTATAAACGCATCCAGCTTGTCGTCGGCCATAAAGAGCGGCGGCACCTTATCGTAGTGATAGTCCACGGTCGCTGGCGGACGCGGCGTAGTCGGACCCGTCACATAGCTGGTGGCAATCGGCTTGGAGGAGATGGGCTTGCGCGTTGGCGAGCTGGCCGCCGGCTCATGGTAGCTGAGCACGGATGGAGCGGCCTGCTCATATGTGGCTGGTGCGGGCGCGGGCACAGGTGCTGGCGCCGACTGTTCGTAGCTGGGACTGGGCTGGGCGGGCTTGCCATGACCGTAGCTGACAGCCGGAGAGGAGGGATCATCATAGCTGGCCGTAGGCGTGGCGGGCTGTTCATAGCCCGAGCCGGAAGCAGCCGAGGAGAATTCCTCATAGCTGGAAGTAGCTGCCGCCGGCTGATCATAGCCCGAGCTCGGACCGTGGCCGTAACCGGAGTCCAACTGTTGCGGCTCATTGTTGTAGTTGGCCGCCGGCTGCTTAATCTGGATGTGGTTGACGGATGACTCCGACGCCTCTGTGTGGTAGCTGCTGCTGCTCGGGGGCTGCTGCTGCTGGACGGGTCTTCTCGTGTTCTGCTCGCTCTGTGGAGGCTTCTTCTTGGTGCTCGTCGGCTGCTTGGCGGGCGGACGCCTTGTCGTGGGCTTGGGGCGCGGCCTGGGACTGGCGGTAATCAAAACTGGACGCAGTGAGGAGCTCTCAGCAGGAGTGTCGTATTGCGGGCGCTGCGCTTGCGTTGTTGTTGTGGCCGCCGGACTGGCTGTGGCCAGCTTCTCGGTCTGCTGCTGTTGATAGCCCGCGGAGGTTTCATCGTACTGCTCCTGCACCTTGGTGGTGTGCGAGGAGACAGACACCTCGGCGGGCAAGGGATCATTGTAGTGCTGCATGGTCACCATGCCGATGTAGGAGGCCACGGGACGATTGGGCGTCGAGGGACGCACATAGGCGGGCGAGGGAGACTGTGGCGCTTCCGTGTAGCTGTTCGTGATCTTCTCAAAGTTGACCTCAGTGTTGCCCTCCAGCGAACCGCTGCTGAGCTGACCATAGCCCGAGGGCTCATCACCCTCCATGTAGGACATGTCCACCGGATAGGCTATGCCCATGACGGGCATTTTATTAAACTCAGAGGTCTGCGGTGCCTGCGGCGAGCTGGCATCATGATAGGTAGTCGCTGGCATTGTGTGCTCGTCCAGCACCTGAGACTGATCCTCATTGTAGGTGGGACGCTGCGTGGACAGCTCCACGGACTGACTGTACGTGGCACCCGCATCCTGTTCAGCGGACACCTTGTCATAGCTGGGCTCATCATAGGCGGTGGTCGTATAGCCATAATCCTGCTGCTGCTGCTGCTGCTCCAGCTCCTGTGCCTTGGTAGCCTCGTTGTTCTGCTCCTGGCTACCCTGCTCATAGTAGCTGGGCGACTGTGCGGTGGCCGACGTCTCGCTGTGTTCCGACTGCGGCGCATAGCCATACGAGGGCGTCTGCTGGCTGACCACATTGTAGCTGGGGCCATGGCTGCTGTTATTGAGCTGCAATATAATCGACTCAATAGAGTCCACGTGCGTGGTTATGGAGGAGACTGTGGTGGGATTGCTCTGTGCCGTAGCGGGTCGCTTCTCGTTGTTGTAGGTGGGCACCAGAATATATTTATCTTCCGACGCGGCGCTGGGCTGCGTGCTGCTCGAAGAGGAGGAGGAGGAGATGTAGCTCTGGGATGAGGGCTGCTGCTGATGCTGTTGATGATGCTGCTGCTGTTGATGATGCTGCTGCTGCTGTTGATGCTGCTGCTCCTGCGGTGGCTGCACATAGACAGGCTGTGGGCCGTAGCCCGTGGAGAACTGCAAATCCTCAACCAGATCCGCATCGGCGCCGGGATGTGTGATGTCGCTGTGCGTAAACTCGCCGCCATCCAGTATCAGATGATTGTGATGATGCATATTCGATTGCTGGGCGGGCTTAGGCTTGGGCTTCAGCTGTTGCACTGGTCGCTTCATCACCTCGGCCAGCTGGGGCACAGGCTTGGACTGTGCCGCGGTCTTTAGCGGCGGCTTGGCTTGCGGTTTGGGCTGCGGCTTCGGTTTGGGTTTGGGCGTGGTTATACTAGCTGGCGCCTTGGTGGCGGGCGTCTCCTCAAAGCTGCTGGACTCGGAGCTGCTGTGCTCCAAATGCCCGTTGACTATCTTGTTAGGCACTTCGGTGGTGAATGTCAGAACGTCATCCGAATGCTCGGGCGGCAGCGTTGCCAGCACCTGCATCACGAAGTCATCATTGCCTGGCGGCGAGGAGAACGTGCTTATCTTCACGGAATGCTTGTTCACATGTATGGCTGGCGGCAGTTCCGTTGGCTTCAGCTCATTGGTACTGATCGCCTCATTATTGGGCTGTAGCTCCGCCTCCTGCTCGAACTCCACGCTGGCGGATTGCGAGTGTGTCGCCTCCGTGGAGCTGCTGGCAAAGCTCAGCTTATCCTGTGTCTGACCCTGACCGGCCGTGCTGCCCAGCTGCTGATACACCTTATCCAGATTCTGTTGATCGTAAATGCCCTGCGCCGGCTGCTCATCACTGAGCTGCTGCTGCTGCTCCTGCTCCTGCTGCTGCTGCTGCTCCTGCTGCTGCTGCTGCTGCTCTTGCTCCTGCTGCTGCTGCTGCTGCTGCTGCTGCTGCTGCTGCTGCTGCTCGCCATAGTTCTCATAGGAGGATTGTGCCGCCGCCTGCTGCTGCTGCTGTTGCTGCTGCTGGTGCTGCTGCAGCTTTTGCTGCTGCTGCTGGAAGTAGGCATTCTGTGCATCGTTGATCAGCGTGCTGGCCAGCTCGTGCGTCTGCGGTATCTGACAGCAGGCGCCGAACAGGAAGCCATCCATGCAAGCGCCAACCACCTCGCCGCCCCGCTGCGCGCACTCGTGATTGAACATGCATATGGTGGGGCCATTGGAGCGCGGATCCGAGCTGGGCAGCGTTTTGGTGGCGCGACAGTGCTTTGGCGTTATGCGATAGCCGCCAAACAATTTGCGACCAGCTGCCGGAGGAGAGAGAGAGAGAGAGAGAGAGCAAACGAAGTTGAATTAATATTTTAGAATATTTAGAAAATGATTCAATTTTTAAGAAAGCTTTTCTGTTTTGTTTTTTCCATGCTTAAGAAGAGTTACGATTCCTGGTTTAATTGGGTTTCTAAAAGGTGAAATAATCGCGCCATTTTACATGCCAGCTCTTCGAGCTTCTATATTCTCAAAAAATCGATATTTATCTATTTATCGATGCTTATTAAATCGACAACCTACATCATGAATTTCTTATGGGCTCTGAAATCAACGTACTGATCAAGCATATATATATAGTAATAGGGTTCAATATGCTTTTCTCTGCGTGTTACATATGTTCGCACAAGTCTATTACCCCCTTTTTAAATTGGTCCAGGGTATACTATATTTTAATTCAAGTCCATTCTTCAGTTCTTAAAGTCCGCAATTTAGAATATTGAACAAACGTATTCTCTTTAATCTTTTAACCATTATAGATTATCTATTAACTATTAACTATATTTGTTATTATCTATTATCCTTTATCTATTATCTTTTATATTTTATATATTATATATTAACTAATATCTAAGTATGAACACTTTCCCTTCAATAACCAAAGCTCGTAAAGAATTTTGTGTCTCTATGTGTATACCCTGTACCTATGTAAAGGAGGGTATAATAGTTTTGTGCAAATGATTCTAAAAGGCAAGAGGAGTCTTTTTTTTTGTCTTCACCTCAAGCAGCATCAAGAGCCAAGTCGAACTAGTCAATTTCGTCTGCTTCGGAGATATGAAACCCAATTGGTTTTATTCTTCCACACGAAAATCAGAGTTGCTTAGCATTCTAATTGAGTTGCGAGCAATTTCCGCTTCAGCCTAATGCTTGGGGCCAATTAATTAAGCAGCCAACTGCAGAAATCAAAGCCAGGCAACTGTACATAATTGGATTAGCCTGGTAAAAATTAAGTAGTTTCTATGAAATTCTTGAAATGAAAGTGACATTTTTTTTTTTTAATTGGGTTTTTGCCCATAAAGTTGGCCATTTAATGGCGTTTTGCAGTGCTAATTATGAGCCAAAGAAAAAAAAACAAAAGACCAGAAAAAACCGCCAAAACAATAAACTCAATTAACATGAGGAGCAACATTTGCCGCAAGTGCTGCAAGCGGCTGCTAACGGGGCCAGTTGAAAGGCAGTTGCCAAGTGAAAGTGCCGTTTGCCGCGCTTGCTGCAGCAAGGTCAAAGTTCAAAGCTGGCTTTTTATAAACTCGCTGCTGCTGCTGCTGCTGCTGTCAAGTTAAATGCACCTTGATTGCATTTTGGGCTGCTTTGGCAAATGATGTCGCGCCGCAAAAACTTTGCTCATTAGCAAATTACATGCGACTGGCAACATGACATTTTAGACATTTATCGATCTTCTTTTTTTTGTGTGGAACTGCAGGTGCTAGGGCTGGGGGAGGGGGAGGGGAGCTTAGCCGACAATTAACACCTCAAGCGCTGGCGCTTGCTCCACTTGGTGCCGGCTGCGGCTGCTCCCATTTCCAGTTTTTGGCCGCAGAGACTATGTCAATGTTTGTGTGAAATTGGAGCACAGTCGAAATTCACGTTGAGTGCCAGATTCTAAGCCAACAGGGAAAATATATATATAAAATCGTTATTCTGTGGTCGCAATCAATTAACAATCAAGTTGCTAATTAAATGAAAAACAAGCACAATTACATTTACAGCTAGGCACATAAAATGCGGCAGCCATAAAAAAAAAAAACATGCGCCTGGAGTTTCCCTCAACAACTCCTGCACCTATAAAGCGGACAGAGAAAAAGGTGCTCGCAGTGAAAGTAAACACGGCGCGAAAAGTGAATAACTTATCAGCGGCGCCCAACAAACTCCAATTAGAATGTTCGGTACGTAGCGCCCGTAACCTCAGCTCCAACTCCAACCGCAAATAATAAAAAAAAAAACCATAATTGCGAAAAGTGATAGTGTTTTGTTTGCCTTTTTCATTTCATTTCTTATTTTCTTATATATTTCTTCATTTCATTTGTAGTTTTGTTAATGATTTCGTTTTTCTGCTCTGCGGCTTTGCTGCGTTTTTATTATTTAGTTTTTTTTTTCTTTTATTAAAAATGTGCTCACTTTTTGTGGCTTTATTATTTGCAGACATTTCGCATTTTATGATTAGACACTCAAGTGCGCTGAAGTATTCTTCCGACAATCGTTAAAAGTTGGTAAACCCACAAACGATGGGAAATGGCCGCAGGCCCCACGCGCTGTTAACTTAACAGCGCACGCTTAACAGTGCTGCTTGTAGTTAACATAATTATGGTGTCTGTCAGCGCTCTCTTGCCCTGCTAGCGAACTTTCAATGGCTGTGCGAGTGTGTGTGTGTGTGTGTAGTCGAGTGTTAATTATGCAGCTTAACATAATTTGTTTGATTTAAGGCGAGCAAAATGTTAATGGCACATGCAAGGGCTACATTTAGCTAAGATAATGCATATGTTGAGTGTGTGGCAGCTAATTGAATAATCAAAATGTTAGCTAAGAGCGTTAGAAGCTTGGAAATTAAGTTATTAGGTGTATAACTAGATACTATTGTTATAAACAGAAACTATGTGAGACTTTAAGAACTAGAGTAGCTTTTATTAGTGTCCTGAATGCATTAAGAATGTGATATGTGATATGCCAAATGTTATTATCAAATGTTAAACAAATGTTAGGCAATTGAGGTTAGGTTAATATATGTTATAACTGCTGAGCAGCTGTTCCATTAAAATCAACCGCATTTCTCACTTGACAAAGGCTTTTAATGAACACAATCCCAACTCTACCCAGTCGTGCTCTCTATTCTTCCAATTCGTGACCTTCACAATAGTCTTTGGCTCTGGGTGTGTCTGATAAAAGAGTGAGAAATTCAATGAGCAAAACACTCGGTTCGTTGCGGCATTGTCCATTAAATATGCAAAGAATGTTTCAACGCGTCGCTGCATGAACATTAGATATTTGTATTTATTTTTTTTATAAATTCTTTTTTTTTTTTTTTTTTTGGTGCGCCCCACCTGCTCTTAAGAGCGAAAACGTAGTCGTAACTGAGCGCGCGTGACTCTTATAAATGATTTGTGATTTGGTTGGGTTTTAATTCGATTTGACAGGCAGTGCGGAGACGACTTATCGCCAGCCTCTGACCCCAATTGGCGCAACAAGAAATTCGAGTCAATGTATCAGCGTAATCAACGCGATTTGGCATGCAAAATAGGTTACAGCATCGCAACAGCAACAACAACAACTGAGAGCAGCCAAAAAGCCGGCTCACACACACACACACACGCACGCAGCGCGCTGCTCTCTTGACTTTGGGTGGAACGAAAGTGTGTCAAACGCCTGAATAATTTTGCGTTGCTTTTTTTTTTTCAAAAAACATTTTTCGGTGTTTATCATACAAATGGCAAAGAATAAGCAGCAGAACGCAGTCAGGAAGCAGCCGAAAATGAGATAACAGGTTGCCCAATCAAACAAAACAACGGCAAACTTGTTGCGCAGCAGCATTAACAATGCCGAAAAGAAAAAAGAGTGGCAACCTCTGTCCCTTGCCTTGTCGCTCTTCCATTCGAATTGGAATACTTTTGGCTGCAGTCTTGAAACAGTTATCAAGTGCAGTGAAACGAACTTATTTGTTTTGGCAAAAAGAGAAAAAGCGCGACATTCTCAGTGGGTCACACTGGGCCCTCCACAATTCGAGTTCGAATTCCAATTGGAATGGGCTTTGGTATGCTTTTGCTGCAGTCTGGAAACAGTTAGCGACTGCATTTCATTTATATCGCATGCAGTGAAATTTACACACACACACGCACACACACACACACAGGTGGGCAAACGAAAAATTAATTAAATCATGAAATATGCTGCACGGCAAGCAACGCAGAGCCATTCAGCAGATCGAATTCGTAGAACTTGTTTTCTTCCCAAGCATCCGACTGCCGCGCAGTGCTGCCAGAAGGTGCGCAGCGTCGCGCTCAAAGAATGTAAACAAACGAGGCGCTTTAACGGTAAAATGGAAAATTATTATCGATCAATTAGCTCAACGTTGCAAAAAAAGAAAAAAAGAAAAAAAAGTAACTATATAGTCGCATATGGAAGTGTATGCAAACATGCAATACCACGTGTCGGATCGGTTTCAGACAAGGCATCAATTTGCATAGATGTTGTGCTCCCGACCAGTTTTGCATTTTTAAAAATTCTTGCTCTGATTGTATTGTGAAAGTGTTGAAATGTTCTTGGTCTAAATTAATGGTAATTATAGTTGCATTAATGGAACAAACATTTCTTAAGGCTTATCTGAAAATAAACTGCATACCCATTTAATTATCAAGTAATCATTTGTCGAAAGTTTGCTTTAAACAGTTAAAAACTATATGTAAAAGATTATTAGATATCAGACAAGTTTCCCTAACGACATATTGATTGCAAAAATTATAATAACTAGATAAAGCAGAGGCCAAACATTTGTCACTTTTCACGTAATTATCATAAAAAGTTGTAACATTTGTCTCGAGCTTAATTTCACTTTTCATAGACAAAAGGAAAACTGTTTACTGTTGGTTTTTGTTTTTTATATGAATCTCTATCGCTTGATTCGGGCTACTACTAATTATGACTAGCCCAACAACGACAACAAATCTAACAACAACAACAACAACAAAGGCAATAATCATCCGAGCTAAAGCGAGAGTGCCTGGCCATGAGTTTTTTGTTGTTGTGGTTTTCGTGCTAGTTAAATTGAATTTGTTTTGTGATTTGTAGCTGTTGTTTTATGATTGTATTTTTCTTGTTTTCATCTTCGTCTTTTTATTAATTTTAATGGGCTTTACGTGCGACTCTGCGCTAATACAAACATCTCTGTATAATCTCTCTGATATGGCATCTCTTTCTACGCCATTCTGCGATGTCACGCAAGAAGTTTTTCCGTTTTGCGTGTTGGAAAATGAAAGTTTTAATTTTTTTG